GTTGAAAAGGCAGTAGAGATGCCTTCAGGTTCAGTAGAACCAGAGCAGGTAGAGATGCCTTCAGGTTCAGTAGAACCAGAGCAGGTAGAGATGCCTTCAGGTTCAGTAGAACCACAGCAGGTAGAGATGCCTTCAGGTTCAGTAGAACCACAGCAGGTAGAGATGCCTTCAGGTTCAGTAGAACCACAGCAGGTAGAGATGCCTTCAGGTTCCGTAGAACCACAGCAGGTAGAGATGCCTTCAGGTTCAGTAGAACCAGAGCAGGTAGAGATGCCTTCAGGTTCAGTAGAACCACAGCAGGTAGAGATGCCTTCAGGTTCAGTAGAACCAGAGCAGGTAGAGATGCCTTCAGGTTCAGTAGAACCACAGCAGGTAGAGATGCCTTCAGGTTCAGTAGAACCACAGCAGGTAGAGATGCCTTCAGGTTCAGTAGAACCAGAGCAGGTAGAGATGCCTTCAGGTTCAGTAGAACCACAGCAGGTAGAGATGCCTTCAGGTTCCGTAGAACCAGAGCAGGTAGAGATGCCTTCAGGTTCAGTAGAACCACAGCAGGTAGAGATGCCTTCAGGTTCAGTAGAACCACAGCAGGTAGAGATGCCTTCAGGTTCCGTAGAACCACAGCAGGTAGAGATGCCTTCAGGTTCAGTAGAACCAGAGCAGGTAGAGATGCCTTCAGGTTCAGTAGAACCACAGCAGGTAGAGATGCCTTCAGGTTCAGTAGAACCACAGCAGGTAGAGATGCCTTCAGGTTCAGTAGAACCACAGCAGGTAGAGATGCCTTCAGGTTCAGTAGAACCACAGCAGGTAGAGATGCCTTCAGGTTCAGTAGAACCACAGCAGGTAGAGATGCCTTCAGGTTCAGTAGAACCACAGCAGGTAGAGATGCCTTCAGGTTCCATATGATGATCCTGGCTCTATTCTTCACATAGAAGGGATTCAGATTTTGTTTTTGTGGAATATTTATGGGAAACAGGAAATTCCAGGACTCCTGCTGCATCAGAGGGAGATCCAGACTAAATAGATGCAGATTGAGGGGAACATGAATCCATCCAGCAGCTACACAAACATCTTGAAGAGAAACATGAAAGCACAGTGAGAGCCTGAAGGGGCCACACTGCTTAAAGAATCAGTCTCAGATTAAACCGTATCGGAGGGAAATGAACCATGATACGTGGATAAAAGCAGACCAAATGAGACGCAGATCAGCAGTTAAATGCTGATTCTTCCAGCTGTAGCAGAGTTGTTTCATTTGTAGATCAGCAGCTGCTAGATGACTCTGCAAATTATGACTCAGCAGATTTCGGTGTCCGACCCACTTGCAGCCTCCAGCTTCGATGCTTTAACCGTACACTGCAGCAAACTGCAGCAAGACAAGCAGCTTCAAAGGCAGGAGGAAAACAAGAGCATCCACCATGAGAGCAGGAGACATCCTGCCGCAGAGCAGCAGGGAGAGAGCAGGAAACATGGCAGGAAGTCCTCAGGGCTTTGAATATTCACCCTAACGTTAGCGTCTAATAATTACAGCCAGGGAGAGAAGGAGGAGAGAGTGGAAACATCGACTGGACTGAAGCTGTGCTCGTATAGCACATGGAGAACGGGTCTGATCTGATCAGAACCAACAGAGAGGTTTATGAGCTGGTGGGTCTGATGGGGGGGGTCAGGAATCCATCCCCTGGAAGCCTCAGAAGATGCAGGGATCCTGCATGTCTGCACGGAAAGCCGAGTCACCATGTCAGAAAAAAAGTAAAAAATAATAGTAGTATTCATGATTCATAGTTTGTCCTTCTTTAACAGAAATAAAGTCCAATAATTACCTTTATTACCTTTGAACACTGGTGTCCAACGGTCCCTGAACGCAGCACGTTCAGGCCCAGAGATTGTCAGCATCCATGTCAGCCTGCAGGAAGTCAGTGACCGGCACTAACGACCGCCTCGGTGATACTAACGGGATAATTTACGGCTGCTGGTCCAGACACAAAGAGATGGAGACAAACAGGCAGAATAACCAGCCAGTAAACTGTCCATTTATTCAGCTTGTTAGAAGGATGAAGGAAAGCAGACACCCTGAGGGGGCAGGATACAGGCGTCGAGTTCAGAATTTAAAATATAAAAACTTAAAACACTGAAACTAAGAGTTTAAACCTTTAGTTTCATAAATTAGTTTTCTTTTCTGCAGCTTTGAAGAATAAAATCTTTTTTTTTCTTATTCATGCAAACTTCTAGAAGCTTCATGGTGCATTCAGTGACAAAAACGAATTTCCTGCATCTTTACCAGCCTGACAAACAAATTCCTCCGTCCTCCTACTGACCTGCAGCTGCAGGAGAGGCCTTGAACTAAACGCTGCTGGATCGGTGGTTTGATTTAAGCTCCGGGGCGTGGCAGGGGGGCGGGGCTCACCTGCTGCTGTGACCCCGGGCTCTGTGTCGGAGTCGTGGTGGTCCGATGGTGGGGCTCTGTGTCAGAGCAGTCTTACTCTCATTGTGTCGCCCACATCTCTGCCAGCTGATTGGACAGCAGGGTGTGGTATCCTAGCAACGGGCAGATATATCCCAGCATTCCTCCCAGTTATGTGGCGTCCCAGTGGACTGTAGGCAGATCAGCCTGCAGGACGCTGAGGGAAGGACACGAGGACAGAGTTCTGTGGTGAGTTCTGGTGTCGGTTTCACAATTTCATCTTCAGATCATCGCTTAGCAACAGAGTCCACTTCCTGGAAATCAAACAGCTTCCTAAAATAGACGGCAAAAAAGATGAGAGGAGCAGGAGGAACATGGTTTATTCACCCAGACCCGGGTTCTTCTTCTCCTGGGTCCTCATGTCTTCCAGGAGGAGCTGGATGAGAGTCGGTGTTAAACTGAGCTCATCTGATCCCTGGGTCCATTTCAGCCTCAGTCTCTGAGTTCCAGGGTAAATTTATGGAGATTGATTAGATACGTTCGCCTCATTGATCCGAACCGATCCACCTCTGGAGACCTCCTGACGCCTCCTCTCTGTCTACAGACAGTCGCGGTCAGATAACCGGCCCACACGTATTGCTCCTGATGGATTTTTTTCAATAAACCTGGGCAGCAGCTGGAGGATCTTCCTCTTTAACCCAGTTAGCTATAAAGCTGCTGAATGCTGAGGAGCAGCAGCTGGTTCTGGTTCTGGTTGATCAGATCAATGATGATGACCCAACATGGTGATGAGACTCTGGTCCGACTCTGACATCTGGAGATTAGAGCATCTCGCCAAACAAGTCATCTTAAGGCTCCTAAAACATAAAATCAGTTCAGTCCAATCAACAGATTCCTAGTCCGGCTCGTCCATTCCCGGTCATCAAGTCCAACAGCTAGAGTCTAGCATTCATTGTGTTGCTGATTCTGCAGCAATCCCTACCAGCAAGCAAGCATGCAGCGACAGTGGAGAGGAAAAACTGCCTATTAACAGGATGGTAAAAATGAAAAGGGGGATCAGAGGTCTGCAGCTGCAGGTGATTCTTTGGGTTTTCGAGCTGCTTTGGACAAAATAAATTCTAATGGTTATATTTTATATCAGAATTAAAAAATATTCTAGGTGTTTTAAAGTCGCAGGGAAGCGGCTGTTCCAACCGTTATATTTCCGAAATCTCCCGAGTGGTGCCCGACTTTACACGAGTGATAAAGTGAATGTGATTGGTCGGTTATGAAGGGGGCGGGATTGATTGTGGCCGGTTTGTGGGAAGCATCTTGCTAACCAGTTAGCATCTTAGCGCTAGCAGGTTCCCAATGGGAAATTCAACGCTGTCAAGGAACGCTATGGACAGAGGAAACATGCAAGAGGAGGAGAGTTTAGTGTCGGAGGTCGTGGATGAGTCTCCTCCGTCATCCATCTTTTATTTAGAGGAGGAAAGCGGGGACGAAGATGTTGTGGAAGAGGACGCCAGGGCGGCAGAAGCTTGGTTTGGTGTAGAAGGCTTCCAGCCGTACATGTTTGAGCCCTTGCCTCGCAACGCTGCCAGTTCTGTTAGCTCTACGCCTGCCGAAGACACAGACGTCCATCCCCGTGGACACTGGGACGCAACTCAGTGGGAAAGGAAAGGATTCTGGTTTCAACCGTTGCAAATATTAGCTGCGACATATGAATCAAGATGCTATGACCGAAAACATTTGATTGACAGATGAGCGTTGATATATGATTGGATGAATTTAGGTGTTCAGGCTGACGTAGAACTAACTGGGCTGCAGAAGATAACGGAAAAAAACAGATTTTAAGACAGGATTCTTTTTTTAAATAAAAATTTTCTAACTTTTGGTACAACATGGTCTGATAAAGAGTGCATTTATATACATGTTTAAGCCAGAATTATTTGACATTTAAATAGGATTTCTCTACAACTTTAAGGCTAAATCTATACAGGAGAATGATATATTGTTTGATGGTTGCTTTGTGGAAAGCAGCTCCTGGGTTTGGTTCTTCCGGCACTGAGGTTCCCTCCAGGTTCTCCAGGTTCCTTCACTGCCTCTGCTCTGCAGCAGAGCGAAGCCCAGAGGAGCTCCAGGGAGCATGCTCAGATGAATGCCTGCGATAAATGCAGAAGAAGGACCAAAACGACTCCTCATCTGGATGTTAAAGCAGTTAAAACCGCTTCACTCTGCATTTCCGGGCATCAGATGATTCTTAGGAGTTTTTGTGGGTGCAGAGAAGCTTCAATCCAGTTTCAATTAGCTATATTATTAAATGCAGTCCAGTAATGATGAGTTGCTGAGATACAGACACACCTCAGAACGGATCAACAGAGGATTTTATGTAGAAATATCCATTTTACTGAATAATTTTGAAGATCTAGATGCTGTAATCGTTATTTTTTCTATGCAGAGACGTTATTGCTCGATGTTTACTCCTTTCTTGCTGCAGCGTCTGGAAGAAAACGTTTTGCGTCATGCGTCCGCTCGCCGCTGCGCAGAGGCCATGTGAATCCTGTCATTGGTTAGAACAGATGTTTATTTGGAATCCCTGCTTGAATCAGGGGTTTCAGACAGTAGATGGTTGGAAGGAGCTTTATTTATTTATATTTTTACTTTATTTCCCATAAACTTGAAAAAAGACTCAGGTGCTCTCAGGTAGACGTGGGTCTTGCAGCTCTAGAGGAACCGTGACGCCTGCAGATCAGGTTAAAGGTTTTTTATGTGGTTCTGTTTGGCTTTTCTTCACACATCAAGGTTCTGAAGCAAGTTTGATGTTTAACAAACAAACTTAACAAAATGATCCAAAATAGTTTGACTTTGTAAATTTAACCTGACCTCCACACTCCTCTGATCTGCGTCCGGTGGAGCCTCTGGTCGATGTGGGTCGAAGCATCCATGGAGGCCCCCAGCCTTCAAGGTCTGCTGCTGATGTCATGAGGCGCCATTCCTCAGCAGGTCTTGATTGGACCAATCAGAGCTGCTCCAGTACCAGAGGGGCGACCAGCAGGATGGCTTAGAGGGGGCGTCATAGGTTGATCTGTCCACCCAACCCCCTCTGACTGTCCATAGAAACATCCAAGGCATAGGTGGTCATAATGTTAAGCCTGGTTGGTCTGCATGCTTAGAAATGTTCTGCTAATAATGAGAGAGAAGAGGCTCGTTGATCTGAAGCTCTGATTGGTCCAGAACGCTGCTCGTCTATAAACTGGTTTGGATGAATGAATCCAGTTTAATGAATGAAGGATTCAGCATCCGAAAGTGACCAGAATTCCCACAGCTCCCAGTCTGGCCATTAACAAACCATTAGGACATCAATAATTCAGAGTGTGGGTGACACCAGAGCCCAGTCTGATCCATCCAGCCTAGAATGAACCCCCCCCCCCATCCAGAGGATCATAGCGGGCAGGAAATCATCAGCATCTGTCTGACTTCAGGTTCACAAGCCGTTCATGTTTACATTAATCCTATCATATCTTTGGAGCCAACATGAAACCATTTTCTCGCCCCCAACAGGGGGGAATGAACCGTTAGGTAATACTAGGCAGTTGCTAAGGGCCCCACGTTCCTGGGGGCCTCATAAAACTTCATTTACATTTATAATTAATACAACAATTTCTTATTTGTGCACATTAATTATGTTTTTGATAAAATCCTTTGGCTAAAATGCCATCAGAACGCTGATAATATTAAGTGTGTCTCAGCCCCCCCCCCTTCAGTGTCCACCATATTGGATCAGTCCATTTGCTGCACATGTTCAGAAAGGTCCAAACAGACAGCACCAAACCATTTGAAAACAAACCATGCAAAGAGCAGTGTTGCCAACTTAGCGCTTTAGTCGCTATATTTAGCCACTTTTCAGACCCCTCTAGCACTTTGATTTCTAAAAAGCTCCTAGCGCCAAATCTAGAGACGTTTTTTCTGCTACTGGAGACTTTGGAGACAACATCTAAAAGCAGCGAACTCTGCTCTCCAGAGCGAGTAGATTGGTAACCCCGCCTCCTGCTCTCCTCTATCTTGTCTGCTGTCATGATTCATGCAGCTATTATTTAATCCAAATGAAAAACCATAACACATGAATGCGCATGCTGTCTGCAGCGCATGCTGTCTGCAGCTCATGCTGTCTGCAGCGCATGCTGTCTGCAGCTCATGCTGTCTGCAGCGCATGCTGTCTGCAGCTCATGCTGTCTGCAGCGCATGCTGTCTGCAGCTCATGCTGTCTGCAGCGCATGCTGTCTGCAGCGCATGCTGTCTGCAGCTCATGCTGTCTGCAGCGCATGCTGTCTGCAGCGCATGCTGTCTGCAGCGCTGATGCAGTAATGCAGAGCGCTATGATCACTCCTCTGAAACAGTTTATTAACCCCTAAATTAGCTTAAAATGTAGAAACCAGCCAGAAAAACATGTACGCTTTTATTATCCTGGTGCCTGCAGTTTGGATTACATACATTGAAACCGCCTTCCAGCTGCTGCAGTGAACCCCCAAGAGGCGAGCGGGCCTGAGGCAGCTGCTGCTGGGGATTCCCAGTGACAGCGCAGCGCCGGTATGTGGGGGTCTGAGCGGCTCCCACAGAGAAATAATCTTTGAAGGCAGGATGGTAATCTGGATGAACTGACTGCACAGACCATGTTTTCAGGAGGACTTTCTCACTTCAACATAGATTCTAACTACTTTTTACCCGCTGATCATAGCTAATATAGCTGCCATTGTTCCAGGGAAAGAAAGGATAGGGTAGCTCCGCCCACTGCGCATCAGACCCAATTTACCACCGAGCAGCAAAGATGCTTCAGCTGCGCATCAGAACTAAACTGGTACAAACATCTAAAAGGAAGCAGCACGCGTGATTTAGCTGCTTCTGCTGCTCTTGGTGTGAACGTAGCATAGAAGTGGCTAGCTTCCAGCCATGGCGTCTTAAACAATCATTGGGGGGTGGATTCGTTCAGGAACCAATCGTGTACAACATCCCGTCTTTTGTGATTGGTTTGAGTTATTCATTGATTTTTCACCATTTATTTTTGTTTTACTTCCAGATCTTCTATTTCACTGCTTACTAAGCGACTGTGAGGAGATCTTTAAGCCACATGGTAAAAAATGGGTCAGAGAAGATCTACTGCACCTTTAATGAAGTGTGGTAAACAGAGTCCAATATTTGAAGACATGAAGAAGCAGCATTCTTATAATAAATGTCACCATAATCTAAGAAGGATAAAAACGAGGCAGAGGCACAGCGCTTTTTTTACTCAGAAAGAAAAACATGTTTTATTAACAAAAGAAGAAGCCCGGTTTAATTTTTTATTTATTCACACGTTTATCAATAAAAGGTTTGAAGGTGAGGGAGTTAATTCCAGTTCCAAGGTATTAATATTCGTGTTCCACCTCAATGACTTTCCCCTCCAGAGTGGACACTGCTGGAAGGGTTTGAATCCCGTTCTTATGCTTTAAAAACAACATTAACTTTGTTTTGTCAGCATTAAGAGAAAGCTAAATCTTACAGATAAATACTGATGCATATTTATCTGTTTTATTTTTACAGAAGTCATGTAATAAAGACTCCTTAGCGTATTATATATTATAAAGTTTTGCCTATTTTAGAATAATTTCCTTTTTTATATTAAAGATTTGCACTTTTGGGGTTAACTTTATCACTTTTTAGTGTTTTTGTGTGTTTGTGATTAGTTTTAAATAGCTGCTGTCTGTGTTTTGTGTGGTTTTGCAGCACTATGTGTAATAATCATGTATTTATTACAAACATTTAAAATTGCTGGATTTTTGTGCTTGAAGCTGATGTTCTCTGGGTTTCCTCTTGTTCATGAGTCTCTGTGTGTTTTTTTTAGGAGCTGATTGGGCAGACGAGCCCAGAAAACAAACCCATCCAGAGATGATCCACCTTTTCTCTGTGAGGTAAAAACACTCAGCTGGTGTTCCTGAACGCAGCTTCCCGCTCCTCCGCCTGTTTTAGCCCCACAAAGCCGTGCACTCTGGAACCGTCCCTTTGTGTCATTTGGACGTGTCGCACAATGAAGCGCCGGCGGCCGTTAAGCTGCAGCTGCAGCCGAGCATGATGGGAGTTCTGCTCACATCCAAACAAGTCATCTGACCAGAGCCGAGTCCTCAGCTCACATGAATGCAGATGCTGGAATCAGGGGACAGCAGAGCTCAGCACCAACTCGCCTTTATAGACCTTATTCACCACCTTCCTCTGGTTGAGCTTTAGGAGGTTCAGGTTTAAGCCAGTTTCCCCCAGAAGGAGCCAGTCTTCATGTTCCCCCCCCCATGCTAAACTATGCTACCTTCCCTCTGTGCCCTGTGGACCTGGTTCTGCTGCTCTCCCATCAGTCTGCTGTGGACTTGTTCACAATTATCTCTCTGTATTTTACCTGCATGGTTTTAACTTCCTGTCTCACCTGTGTCTTCCTCAGGATCTGACCAACCAGCAGGCATGATGATGCCAAAGGTGAGTCTCTTCCTGTTCCTTCAAATGGGGGAGGGGCTTAACAGGAACCCAGATCAGAACCAGCTGAATCAACAATCTCCATACAAAAAAACATCTTCTAACCTTAGAACTGGAGCAGTGTTTAGGCTGTTTGCTCAGAAACCGCAGACAGGAGGCCTATGATTGGTCAAATCTCCATCCGCTGTACTCTATGCGTATTTCCTGTTTGGTTCCTTACCGGCTGGTTTTGTTTGTCTGACCGCCATTGTGGAAAACGACTGGTGAAGATGGAGCAGCTAGCAGAGCGAGGTGAGAACGCTGGGACCCTTTTTCCACCCGGATCCCCGCTCTTTTTGGCCCTCATGTCTCTCCATTGCGCACAAACTTGCCCCCACTTCCTCACCGCCGCATCTAGACCCACAGCTAATTCCTGAATGGCAATCTTGCGTTGTGGCGTGGAATAACATAGCGCAGACCACGCTTCAATATTGGGCAGAAATCAAAAATATCTGCGACACGCTGCTGCGGGAGGATAACCAGGCCTTCAGGCTACGTTCACACAGCAGCCTGAAGTGACTCAAATACTAGTCTATTAGATCCTCCAGAACTCAGTCGGGTCAAAGCATCAGAGAAACATGAGGACCTGCTTCTTCACGTGGGTCCCAGCATCAGTACCGGAGCATCAGCCTGTGCCTCCTGGTGACGGGGCCGCTGCTCTGTCACACTAGCATACCTATAGTCAATAGCATGTGGAACACATCAGAGTTGCGTTTATCCCTTAGTTTTGTACGAAAAATAGACTTTAACCTCTCAAAACCCGTTGGATCACCGGTGACCCGTTTTAAAGCCTTTTCAACTAATAACTCAGAATGCATGAAAATTCCAGGGGTAAAATGTTTACCAAAATAGTCCTGTTACACAACGTCAGAAAGCTAAATTCTCCACAAATCAAAGGCCAAGTTCATTTTATGGACACAGTGAGCACCAAAGCACAATTAAACAGAAAGAGCAGCAGGTCAAAATGTAAACATGTCAAAGAGCCACAACGAGCAAGAATGTCTAAATAAAAAAACAACTTTGAGTCTGTTTGAACTGATGCAGCTTGGGCTGTGTTTTACTCACCCAATTTTTATTTATATATTCAGAAAGTAGAAGGTGTTAGCTTTCAAATATTGCATCACACGTGTAATTTGGGCTTAAAGTTCCTCAGTTATTTGCTTTTCCATTTGGGTATGCAGAATAGGCGAGAATTTCCCAAAATCAGGAGGATGTTGAGAGGTTCGACAGGCGTGTTTCCCTCTAGTCATGCACAAACAAAACTATTCAAGGTCAGATCGCTGTACGCTTAAAAAAACACCAAGAAGTAAGTCATTTATTTTTTTTTTGTGCATGACTAAAGGGATACTCACCTCTTGAGGAAGTTTAAAGTCTATTTTTCATAAAAAACTAAAGGGATAAACTAAAGAGTAAAACAGGTAATGACTATGGGTATGCTGGTCTGACGGGGTATGCTCATCTGACAGATGATCAGAACCCCCCCATAAAAGGGTATCTGGTCAGACGAATTGCTGATTTCCATTATTGGAGACCTTCTCCATAAGGCAAAGCCTTTGCTCCTCAGATTTAGCCGTTGTTTCATTTAAATTTACCAATAATTTCACCAAACTGGACAGAAAATAAGAATAACAGAACAGCTTATGTAACGCATGCCTGTTACACCTGAAATGGTTGCACAATGACCTCTGACCCCTCCTTGGAAAGGTCTGAGCCTCTAGTTTCCAATATTGGCAGCCATTAGGGGGCGGGGCTAAAAATGAATACCTGCTGTTGCATTACTCCCACAGAGTCACACACGTCAGGTGGAATTTTAAATCTCTTTTTATTTGTTTACACAACTATAAAAAAAATACTTGTGAAAAAATAATTTTGAAACATGTTTTAGAAATTTTAAAGCCCCATTTGAAAGGCGCGTGGATGAAACCCCATGTGACTGTGTTTGGGCCATTTCTATAAATAGATAAACATCAGCAGGTATCAGCTGGGTCCTGTACCAGGCCCGCCGGGTTTAAGGGGTTAACCATGAAGCTCCGTGCTTCTGTCGGTGAAACTGACCTCTAACCGTGTTCCCGTCTCTGTGTGCGACGCGGAGCAGCAGCCGGCTCAGACGTCTCCAGGGAGCGTCTTGTCGCTCAGGGGGACCAGCGTTCCTGGCTCTCCTGCTGCTGCCATCGTGGTGAGTCAAGATGAACTCAGTAGACCTTCAGATCAGTCCATCCTCTGTCCTCTCTGACCCGTCCCCCGTCTGTCCCTGCAGGCCAGGGTAGAGGACGGCGTCATCGGCTACAAGGACCTGGCTGCACTGCCCAGGGACAAGGCCATCTTGGACATCGAGAGACCCGACCTGATGATCTACCAGCCGCACTACAGCTACAGCCCCCTGGAGGTGACTGACCAGCAGATTAGGGTTCAATCTGTCTGACCTCCTTCTGGGGGCTGATGGTTCTCAGAGAGTCTTTGCTGACATATTATGGCTCTTTATTGCTGCCTTTTGTGTTTTTCCTCTGAACATTAAGTTTATTTGTTGTCTTTGCTTTTCTGAGCTCGTTTTAAACCGACTGTAGTTCCTCAGCACCATTTCTTTCTGGCTCCTAACTGGTCTAAAGAAAAGATCTGCGGATCAAAATCTTTCCCTGATCGTCTCACATCTTCCTCATTATTCACAGAAACCGTGGAAATGTTAGAAATTACAGCTGTACAGTTCACCAGATCATCCAGTCAGATCGATTCAAAGTTTTCTATCTAAGGAAAACCAGCTGATTGCATCGACTCATTGACTCTTCAGCAATCCCTCACACTAAGCATGCTTGTAGCGACAGTGGAGAGGAAAAACTCCCTTTGAACAGGAAGAAACCTCCAGCAGAACCAGGCTCAGTGTGAGCGGCCATCTGCTGAGGCCCACTGGGGTTCAAGGAGACAGAAGCAGACATAGAAAAAGAAGCATAGATACAAAAGGCAACTGTCAACCAGCTCCACAGGCGGCCCCGTCCAGGAAACACACAGCCAGGCAGACGAGCTCCGAGCCAGCTCCCATGTCAGAGGATGAAGAGAGCACATCCAGTTAGTCACAGTCAGAGAAACAGGACTACACTGGAAAACAGGCCAAGCTCCAACATCTAGAAACAAAGGTGTTGATGGCAGCAGCACAGCTGATATTTCTCTCCAGGATGGAGTCACAGCCAAACAGGAACAGACCAGATGAAGCTACTATGAGAAAAAGCAGAGAGAGCAGAACGTTAGAGATTGAACTAACAGATTCTGCAGAGTGGGAGAATAGAGATAGAATGAAGCAGAATGATGAAAAAGGGGTCCCTATGTCCTCCAGCAGTCTAAGCCTATAGCAGCAGAACTATAGAGATAGCTCAGGATAACCTGAGCCACTCTAACTAGAAGCTTTATCAGAAAGGAAAGTTTTAAGCCTAGCCTTAAAAGTAGACTGGGTGTCTGCCTCACGGACTCTTCCTGCTGATTGGTTTAGCTCCAACTGGTCTCTGGACCAATCAGAGTGGCCTTTATGAAGGTAGGTTGGTGTCTTTATTATTCATTCAAAAAAAGTTGCTTCAATCAAAAAATATATTTTCAATTAAAAACACCTTCACTTCAATGATAATAAAAAATGTGAAAATAAAAATACATTTGAACACTGATTTTGGCTTGCTTGAACTCACAATGAATCCTGGGATATCCAAGGATAGCGAGGATACATCAGACCCGTCCTTCAAATCAAGCAAAAAAAAAAAGGTCAAATTTTTCAGCCGCATAACGAGGAGTCCTGGAATGAGACCAGACCTCGGCGCCGCGCTATGACGTAATCGGCCTTCAAATCTGGCCTTCTGAGGACGCAGCCCATGAATTTGAACGCAGCCCATAGACGTAGACGCCTCTATGCTGCAGATGAGTCACAGCGTCCGCCATGTTGAATGTGGCTAATCTACTGATAGACTCAGACACTTAAACAGTATCAGAGGGAATTTACTCTCAGAATATAGTTTATATTCCTAATATTTTTATTTTTCTAATATTATCAGTTTAATTTTGTAGCCCTTTGGCTTCATTCTCCTGACTTTATTGTCGTAATTTTCTTTCATTGAAGTTAAGGTGTTTTTAATTGAAAATATGTTTTTTGACTGAAGCAACGTTTTTTAATTGAATAATAAAGAAACAAACAGGCCAGTCTGGGTCCAGTCGCCTCCTAACTGGGAGCAGACAGGAACCAGTCAGAGGGTCAGAAGAGCTGCTGGTCCTCAGAGGGTCTGTCTCTCTTAAAGCGACAGGCACCCACACGGTGAGAAATTATTCCCAGGGGTTTTTCTTCTCAGGCTTCTCAGAATAACTTTAAAGCACATGGACAGAGTATTGTTTTCACTGACTTGATAGACACAGGTTACCTGAGGGCAGCTCCTCCTGCTGGTCACAGCTGGAACTGCAGCACTGCTGTCTCAGGCTACAGCGGATACTCTTGTTTATGTTATGGGGGCAGACCCACCATCCCGCTCCATTTAGATGCCTCCCTTGTCCAACATTTTGGCTCAGACTCTCGTTAGCAGGCCTTAATTAAGGAGCTCGTTAGCAGGCCTTAATTAAGGAGCTCGTTAGCAGGCCTTAATTAAGGAGCTCGTTAGCAGCCCTCTGCTGCTGGATGACTGAGGAGGAGATCAGGTGTTTCAGCAGAGATTCAAAAGAAAAGTTTTCAACATTGCTTTTTGTCTTAATTCTCAGTAATAAAGATTGTTTTAGACATTTAGATTTATTTCAAATGATTTTTCTTACAGATTAACTTTATAGATCTATATGTTTTAGATTTTGAATCTTTGTTTTTTTTGTGGATGATTTCTGGTTAATCTGCTGTTATCATTTCTTTTGTTTTGAATGGTTAAATGTGTTTAGGTGGAAATCTGCCGCCTGTTTGTTTTCTGACCTTCTCTTTTGCTCTGCTTCTCCTTGCAGAGGTCCTTGTCTCCTCGCTCCATCTCTCCTCCTCCCTCCCCAGAGGTAACCACCACCCCCCCATCAGCTCAGATGTTCTGTAGGCGTCACTGAGATGTCTGCCTAGTTCCTGTGAATCATCTCATTGTTCCTCTTGCTGCTGCTCTAAACCCGAATCCGGCTCCAGCCTTTCTGCTGCACCTTGTTGCTATGGACTGTTTCCTAGCAACCAGCAGGCAGAGTCTGTAGATGGTTTGGACCTTCTGTGGTTCTGAGTGCTCCACATAAAGGTGTGATGTTCATCGTGGTCTCTGTCTGAGATGGTGACGATGAAGATGCAGCTTCATGGCAGCCCCTCCCCTACCTGTTGCTCCATCCACCTTCAGGGAACCTGTTTCCATGGAGGAGCCTGGAAACAGTAGCAGGTTGAAGATCAGATTCACAGATTCGCAGCAGGAGCTGTGGGGAGATGGAAGGTGGAGGGTTCCCAGAAGGTCAGAGGTCAGGCTCATCATCAGGCTGAGGAGATCTTCTGGATGCTTCCACTTGCAGCTCTGGTTCCAACCTTCAACAATGTCCTTCAGAAGTGGCTCCTGACCCAAAGAAGTCCAGGAAGGTTCTGCTCTAAGATGTGGAGAGAAGTTTCATCATCCAGGAGGATCTCAGCTGCTCGTCCAAAGTGAAAGGAGAAGCTGAGATACTTCAATAGGCCAGGGTCCATCTGTTTGGATGGACCTAATGGGTCCAACTAGGATCAGAACTCAGCTCTGCTGGTCTGGGTCTCATGTTTGAAGCTGGTTCAGCTGGATGAGGTTTGCTGGCTCTCCACAAAGGTTCTGATGAGGATTCTGGGTCATAAGTTCCTCTGGAACGAGTGAGAAGATTTAGGTGTGACTGAGATGGTCCAAAATGTCCTCCAGGATTTCCTGGTTCTTTGGTTTATAGCTGAATAACGACCTGCTGGTGGGTTCCAGCGATTATTCAGAGATGCTCCACAGGAGGAGATCCTCCAGGTGTTTCCTCCCCCATGGAGTCAGAGTCAGCATAGATCTGGAGATCTGCTTCCTCACGGAGCTTCGCTCTCATCCTTCTGTTTCTGCTTTCTTCCCAGAACTTGTCCAAGGAGGCCCGGGACTGGCTGGAGAACCGGTCCCCAGGAGATTCTTCACCTTGTTCCACCATCCAGAGCAGCAGAACGCAAAGCTCTCACACACCGCCGACGCTAAACACACCCAGCACGCCCAACACACACCCCGTCGGCACCAGAACCGCCATGCAGCACTTCCACCGACCCGGTAAGCACCTAACCCACTGACCTCCAGTCTTCATTGGATTTTTAAGACTGTTCTTCCAAACATCTTCGCCTAGAACCACATCAGGGCCGCGGTTCTGATCAGAGTAGAGAGGTCAGTAACCCCCGCAGTAACGGGCTCATTATGCCGCCGCCCGCAGCATATCACCACGCTACCAGAGAACGTAGAAAACCAGCTTTATCAAAGACTCTTCATGCTGTTCCAGAGCAACAGTCAGGTCTTTCCTGGTGGTTTTCTTTTTCTGATAGTGGAGATGATTATGAGCTAAATCACAGGATGATGTAGATATTAACATTTGCGACGATCACCATCAGGAATTGCTGCTCGCTCGCCATGTTTTCCAAGTAGAGGACGCCCAAAATGACGTCATTTGGTCGTACGGACACGTCGATCAGAAACCAAGCTTAAAGTCGTAGGGAAGTCATATTTATACGTCAAATAATTCAGGCTTAAACGTTAATATACTTTTTATCAGACCATATTGTCCCAAAATTTAGACCATTTCAATTTTAAAATAATCCCGTCCTTTTTTCCCGTTATCTTCTGCAGGCCAGTTAGTTCTACGTCAGCCTGAACACCTAAAATCGGCCAATCACATATCAACGGTCATCTGTCAATCAAATGTTTTCGGTCATAGCATCTTGATTCATGCGTCGCAGCTAATATACGCAACGGTTGAAACCAGAATCCTTTCCTTTCCCATTGAGTTGCGTCCCAGTGTTCACGGGGATGGACGTCTGTGTCTTCGGCAGGCGTAGAGCTAACAGAACTGGCAGCGTTGCGAGGCAAGGGCTCAAACATGTACGGCTGGAAGCCTTCTACACCAAACCAAGCTTCTGCCGCCCTGGCGTCCTCTTCCACAACATCTTCGTCCCCGCTTTCCTCCTCTAAATAAAAAATGGATGACGGAGGAGACTCATCCACGACCTCCGACACTAAACTCTCCTCCTCTTGCATGTTTCCTCTGTCCATAGCGTTCCTTGGCAGCGTCGTTTCTAAGCCACCAATTTAGTGCTACTTGGTCCCAAAGGAATTTCCCATTGGGAACCTGCTAGCACTAAGATGCTAACTGGTTAGCAAGATGCTTCCCACAAACCGGCCACAACCAGACTTGCTTGAGAACCTTCCGCCACAACAATCCCGCCCCCTTGATAATCGACCAATCACATTCACTTTATTCACTCGTGTAAAGTCAGGATCCACTCTGGAGAATTTGGAAATACAACGGTTGGAACAGCCGCTTCCCTACGACTTTAAAGCCAGAGGGTCTGATGCTAAACGTGGCCCGTCTGGGTTCTTCAATAATCGGATTAAACATCCAACCGTGTTTGATGACAGGTGACAATCAGGAGAAACCAGAACAGAAGCAGAGCTTGTTTCTGTTGTGATCTGCCCTGAATTAATTGTTCATTTCACCACCTGCCTACTTCTGCCTGGTCACTAATTATCACTGATCTCATCCACCTGCATCCGTTCCTCTATATTGGGCTCAGTTCCAGCTATCGGGGCTAGATCATGATTGCTCCCCGTTTATTGTTTTGTTAGTTTTAGTTAGTCCAACGTTCATGTCCCCGTTCCAGTGAGGAGATTATTCTGGAGCCAGTGTCTTCTGGCGAGTTTAATCCCTAACCAGTGGTGAGAGCGTTTTAGGGTTTCCTTTGTGATTCTGATTTCCTGATCCTGTCCCTCTCACCCACTGGTCCTGTCTGTCCCCGTCTGATCTGTTTGCCTGAACCATCCTTTGGACTCTTGCTGGATTCTGCCTGTCTGTGCATTTCTGTCTGAGCTTGTTGCTCCGAACCTTCCTTCACGCTACGCGGATTCCTGGAAGCCTGGATCCCTGTTTCCTGTTTGGGTCAGAGCCTCCGATCGAGCGGCGGCCTCCTGGATTCCTGAGCATGATCTGTTTTCCCCTGACCCGGATCAGCTGCCTGCCTGTTCTCCGGGGCTGCAGCATCGGGGACGCTCTGGTCAGCTCAGGGCTGCATCTCATTGGCTGATCCTGCCTATAGCTGAGAGGATGGTCTGAGCTGTTAAACCAGAGTGTCATCCCCCCCCCCCGCCCCCCCCCCCCCCCCCCCCCCCCCCCCCCCGCAGTCGCTGCACGTCCGCAGATCCACATCAGCTCCATGCTTCTGTTCTGTCGGTTTATGGTTGTGTTTTAATAAACTAATCCTACTGATAGTCTCACCTTGAGTACTGGCTCCATCTGCTCCGTTTTATGACAGTTTCAGGCCGAGGTTCTGCAGGACTTCCTCAGATTCCGAAAAAAATGCTAAATAAAAAGGATGTTTTTTAGATTTTAGGACTGAAAGAAAATTCTTTTATTCTTTGTTTGAATCCCTAATGCCCTTTAACGTGTTTTCTGATGAATGTTTTGTTTTTCTGTGGTAGAAAATGGATCCAACATCTATAAGAAGCCTCCCATCTACAGACAGGGTGAGTCTGGGACACTGAAGCAGGAAGATCAGTGCCTCTGAGGCTGAATGTGGGTCAGCTGCTGCAGCCCCCCCCCCCCCCTTTTAATCAGCTTTAACATGCTGTATGTGTGTGTGTGTGTGTGTGTGTGTGTGTGTGTGTGCGTGTGTGTGTGTGTGTGTGTGTGTGTAGATGTGTCCTCCTCCGCCGTCCCTCAGGGGAAACACATCGAGGATCTGATCATCGAGTCCTCAAAGTTCCCTGCAGCTCAGCCTCCGGATCCAAACCAGCCCTCAAAGATCGAGACCGACTATTGGCCCTGCCCCCCCTCCCTGGCTGTCATTGGTATGACAACCTCCCAAATCCCCCCCCACCCACCCACACACCCACACACACACACACATTCCTATAGTCATAAATACAGCAGCTGCTGGTGCAGGTCAGCTTATATCTGAAGATGAAATCACACAAACACTCTGTCTCCTCACATCCTCCCCTTATTTCCTCCCCTTGTCTCCTTTCCTATCTGCAGAGAAGGAGTCTAAGAAGAAGGAGGAAGACGAGGAGGAGGATGGGGAGCAGGAGGATGAGCTGTGGGGCCTGCAGGTTCTTCAGAAACAGGAGCTGAATAAAGTAGGTGGAGTTCAGAGTTTTTATCCGGGCGGTTCTGGCGGCTCCTAAAACGGTTCTACGGTTTGATTCCGGGTCAGATTCAGTCCAACCTGGGAAAGATCATCCTGAAGGAGGAGCTGGGAAAGACTGCAGGTCCTCTGAGGAGGAAGACCCGCTCCCTGCCAGACCACAGCCACAACTCTGGTATGGATGGATGGATGGATGGATGGATGATGGATGGATGGATGATGGATGGATGGATGATGGATGGATGATGGATGGATGGATGGATGATGGATGGATGGATGGATGATGGATGGATGGATGATGGATGGATGATGGATGGATGATGGATGGATGATGGATGGATGGATGGATGGATGATGATGGATGGATGATGGATGGATGGATGGATGGATGATGGATGGATGGATGATGGATGGATGATGGATGGATGATGGATGGATGGATGGATGGATGATGGATGGATGATGGATGGATGATGGATGGATGATGGATGGATGATGGGTGGATAATGGATGGATGATGGATGGATGATGGATGGATGGATGATGGATGGATGGATGATGGATGGATGGATGGATGGATGGATGATGGATGGATGATGGATGGATGATGGATGGATGATGGATGGATGATGGATGGATGAATGATGGATGGATGGATGATGGATGGATGATGGATGGATGGATGGATGATGGATGGATGATGGATGGATGATGGATGGATGGATGATGGATGGATGATGGATGGATGATGGATGGATGATGGATGGATGGATGATGGATGGATGATGGATGGATGATGGATGGATGATGGATGGATGGATGATGGATGGATGGATGGATGATGGATGGATGGATGGATGGATGATGGATGGATGGATGGATGATGGATGGATGGATGAATGATGGATGGATGGATGATGGATGGATGATGGATGGATGATGGATGGATGGATGATGGATGGATGATGGATGGATGGATGGATGATGGATGGATGATGGATGGATGGATGATGGATGGATGATGGATGGATGGATGGATGATGGATGGATGATGGATGGATGGATGGATGATGGATGGATGATGGATGGATGGATGATGGATGGATGGATGGATGATGGATGGATGGATGATGGATGGATGATGGATGGATGGATGGATGGATGGATGATGGATGGATGATGGATGGATGGATGGATGATGGATGGATGATGGATGGATGGATGGATGATGGATGGATGATGGATGGATGATGGATGGATGGATGGATGGATGGATGGATGATGGATGGATGGATGGATGATGGATGGATGATGGATGGATGGATGGATGATGGATGGATGATGGATGGATGATGGATGGATGGATGATGGATGGATGATGGATGGATGATGGATGGATGATGGATGGATGATGGATGGATGATGGATGGATGATGGATGATGGATGGATGATGGATGGATGGATGGATGGATGATGGATGGATGATGGATGGATGATGGATGGATGGATGGATGATGGATGGATGATGGATGGATGATGGATGGATGATGGATGGATGATGGATGGATGGATGATGGATGGATGATGGATGATGGATGGATGATGGATGGATGGATGGATGGATGATGGATGGATGATGGATGGATGATGGATGGATGGATGATGGATGGATGATGGATGGATGATGGATGGATGATGGATGGATGGATGGATGGATGATGGATGGATGGATGATGGATGGATGATGGATGGATGGATGGATGATGGATGGATGATGGATGGATGGATGATGGATGGATGATGGATGGATGGATGGATGATGGATGGATGATGGATGGATGGATGATGGATGGATGGATGGATGATGGATGGATGATGATGGATGATGGATGGATGATGGATGGATGGATGGATGATGGATGGATGATGGATGGATGATGGATGGATGGATGGATGATGGATGGATGGATGGATGGATGGATGGATGATGGATGGATGGATGGATGATGGATGGATGGATGATGGATGATGGATGGATGATGGATGGATGGATGGATGGATGGATGATGGATGGATGATGGATGGATGGATGGATGATGGATGGATGATGGATGGATGGATGGATGATGGATGGATGATGATGGATGATGGATGGATGGATGGATGATGGATGGATGATGGATGGATGATGGATGGATGATGGATGGATGGATGGATGATGGATGGATGGATGATGGATGGATGGATGATGGATGGATGGATGATGGATGGATGGATGATGGATGGATGGATGATGGATGGATGGATGATGGATGGATGATGGATGGATGATGGATGGATGGATGGATGATGGATGGATGGATGATGGATGGATGGATGATGGATGGATGGATGATGGATGGATGGATGATGATGGATGGATGGATGATGGATGGATGATGGATGGATGATGGATGGATGATGGATGGATGGATGGATGGATGGATGGATGATGGATGGATGATGGATGGATGGATGGATGATGGATGGATGATGGATGGATGATGGATGGATGGATGATGGATGATGGATGGATGATGGATGGATGATGGATGGATGATGGATGGATGATGGATGGATGATGGATGGATGATGGATGGATGATGGATGGATGATGGATGGATGGATGATGGATGGATGGATGGATGATGGATGGATGGATGGATGGATGATGGATGGATGATGGATGGATGATGGATGGATGGATGGATGGATGATGGATGGATGATGGTGGATGATGGATGGATGATGGATGGATGGATGGATGGATGGATGATGGATGGATGATGGATGGATGGATGGATGATGGATGGATGGATGGATGATGGATGGATGATGGATGGATGATGGATGGATGATGGATGGATGATGGATGGATGATGGATGGATGATGGATGGATGGATGGATGATGGATGGATGGATGGATGGATGATGGATGGATGGATGATGGATGGATGATGGATGGATGATGGATGGATGGATGGATGATGGATGGATGATGGATGGATGATGGATGGATGATGGATGGATGGATGATGGATGGATGGATGGATGATGGATGGATGGATGGATGGATGGATGGATGATGGGTGGATGGATGGATGATGGATGGATGGATGAATGATGGATGGATGGATGATGGATGGATGATGGATGGATGGATGGATGGATGGATGATGGATGGATGATGGATGGATGGATGGATGATGGATGGATGATGGATGGATGATGGATGGATGGATGGATGATGGATGGATGATGGATGGATGGATGGATGGATGGATGGATGATGGATGGATGGATGATGGATGGATGGATGGATGATGGATGGATGGATGATGGATGGATGATGGATGGATGATGGGTGGATGATGGATGGATGATGGATGGATGGATGGATGATGGATGGATGATGGATGGATGATGGATGGATGGATGGATGATGGATGGATGGATGGATGGATGATGGATGGATGATGGATGGATGATGGATGGATGGATGGATGATGGATGGATGATGGATGGATGGATGATGGATGGATGGATGGATGATGGATGGATGATGGATGGATGATGGATGGATGATGGATGGATGATGGATGGATGGATGGATGATGGATGGATGGATGATGGATGGATGATGGATGGATGATGGATGATGGATGGATGATGGATGGATGGATGGATGGATGATGGATGGATGATGGATGGATGATGGATGGATGGATGGATGATGGATGGATGGATGATGGATGGATGGATGATGGATGGATGATGGATGGATGATGGATGGATGATGGATGGATGATGGATGGATGGATGATGGATGGATGGATGGATGATGGATGGATGATGGATGGATGATGGATGGATGGATGGATGATGGATGGATGATGGATGGATGATGGATGGATGGATGGATGATGGATGGATGATGGATGGATGGATGGATGGATGGATGATGGATGGATGATGGATGGATGATGGATGGATGGATGATGGATGGATGGATGATGGATGGATGATGGATGGATGATGGATGGATGATGGATGGATGGATGGATGATGGATGGATGATGGATGGATGATGGATGGATGGATGATGGATGGATGATGGATGGATGGATGATGGATGGATGGATGGATGATGGATGGAGATGGATGATGGATGGATGATGGATGGATGGATGATGGATGGATGGATGATGGATGGATGATGGATGGATGATGGATGGATGGATGATGGATGGATGATGGATGGATGATGGATGGATGATGGATGGATGATGGATGGATGATGGATGGATGGATGGATGATGGATGGATGATGGATGGATGGATGATGGATGGATGATGGATGGATGCTGGATGGATGATGGATGGATGATGGATGGATGATGGATGGATGGATGATGGATGGATGATGGATGGATGATGGATGGATGGATGGATGGATGGATGATGGATGGATGATGGATGGATGGATGGATGATGGATGGATGATGGATGGATGATGGATGGATGGATGGATGGATGGATGATGGATGGATGATGGATGGATGATGGATGATGGATGGATGATGGATGGATGATGGATGGATGATGGATGATGGATGGATGATGGATGGATGATGGATGGATGGATGGATGGATGGATGGATGGATGGATGGATAGATAGGTCGGTCGATTCTCCTGTTATCAAACTTTCCCTCCTTTCTCCTCCAGCGTCCAGCGCCTCCAGGTCGGTGTATTTCCCGGCGTCCTCTAAGAGCGGCCTCTCCAGGGTAGGTTTGGTTTTTTCACGTCTCCTGATCGATGAACATCCAGATGGATCCAGATCAGTCAGCTGATGATGAAGGTGTCTTTATCTTCTAGCTCCAGTCTGCAGAGTTCAGCTCCTCAGAGAAAAGTCCAACAGGTAAAAATGTCTTAATCCTCTCCAACACCTTCTCCTCTCTCCTGCTGCTCGTCACACTGATTCGTATTTCTGTCTCTGTCCGTCTGCAGGACTTCAGGTACAGCCGGCACCTCTTTAACCAATCAGCTGCTGAGGAGGTAACTAACTGGTTAAACTGGTTTAAAACCATAATTCTGTGTTTGATTTGGGTCAGAATGGAGACTCCAGGATGGACCGGGGGAACTCGCTCCCCAGCATGCTGGAGCACAAGGTGAGGCAGCAGGAACCAGGTGCTGCAGCGACCCGTGGTTCTGGTGGTTCTGGTGGTTCATCGTTTTCATGGTTTATCTGCGTCTGTAGATCTTCCCATACGAGATGCTGGTGGTGACTCACAGAGGACGGAGCAAGCTGCCCCCTGGAGTGGACCGGACCCGCCTGGAGGTAAAAACAACCACCAATTTCATCTCCAGTTTCATTTGTTCATTTCTATTCAAAGCAGAAAAATATCAGCTCTTAATTAAGATCCGAACATTTAGACTCGAAATAACATTGAAACATTTTTATAGATGGAAATATAGATAAAAAATTTGGGTTTAGAGGGAGACAAAGAACCTGGAGACAAAGGACATGTGGAGCAGCTGTGGATGAAGGAAAGTGGGGAAGCTGAGGGAGACAGTGAAAAAGAAACCATTAGTCAAGAGGAAAAGAAAAACAGAGAAAAAAATGTAAGAGTAAACTAAACACAAATAGGACCAAATATGGCAAGACCTTTTTGAACATAAACAATCAGGAAATCAAAAAGAAACAAAATGCACACGTCACAAACCCCTCACATAATCTTTGTGTTGCAACCAGCTCTGCTCTTTGAGGATTTAATGGATTTCTACCAACAATACTTTAGTTTTCACACAAAACATAGAACTAAAAGTTCAGGATGCTGTCATTGTTTGGCTGTGACTCCATCCTGGAGAGAAATATCAGCTGTGCTGCTGCCATCAACACCTTTGTTTCTAGATGTTGGAGATCAGCCTGTTTTCCAGTGTAGTCCTGTTTCTCTGACTGTGACTAACTGGATGTGCTCTCTTCATCCTGGTTGACAGTTGCCTTTTGTATCTATGCTTCTTTTTCTATGTCTGCTTCTGTCTCCTTGAACCCCAGTGGGCCTCAGCAGATGGCCGCTCACACTGAGCCTGCTTCTGCTGGAGGTTTCTTCCTGTTCAAAGGGAGTTTTTCCTCTCCACTGTCACTACAAGCATGCTTAGTGTGAGGGATTGCTCCTTAGATAGAAAACTTTTAATCAATCTGACTGGATGATCTGATGAACTGTAAAGCTGTAGTTTAACAGGAAGCCAATGAAGAGAAGCTTGGATAGGAGAGATATGATCTCTCTTTTTCGTTTTGATCAGAACTTAGACTGTGTTAGGGTTTGGTTGAGGTTCTGAGGACCCAAATGCAGAGGCAAGGAAGCACGGGTGAGTTTGTGTAACTTTAATGAAGTTATCACAGGTAACAGAAGCAGGAATCCAAAAATCCAACAAAAAAAAAGCAACACAAACCAGAACCATGGAGACATCAGGGAAATAAATGCATGAAGATCCAGAGAAAGACAAGGAACCAGCACTGCTGCACAGGGAGAGTATATACGGGAGACTGAACCAAGACCGGACTAATGAGCTGATTGGGAGCAGGTGTGAAGAGAGGATTCTAGAAGGAGCTATGGAAAAAGAAGACCAACACCAGAGGGCAAGAAAAGAAAAACCTAAGAATTCAAATATATCCAGAAAACCCCAATAAAGCTAGAAAACAAAGAAAATAATGGATTAACATGAAACTGAAAACTCACTGAAAACTTAACAGAACCAAGACCGTGACTGGATGCAGCATTTTGGATCAGCTGAAGGCTTTTAACTACAGTTTGTGGACTTCCTGATAGTAAAGAATTACAATAGTCCAGCCTTGAAGTAACAAATGGACTAGTTTCTCAGCATCACCCCTGGACAGGAGATTTCTCATTTTTGCAATGTTCCTCAGATGAAAGAATTTGATCTGGGATTTAAATGACAGGTCCTGATCAAAAACAACACCAAGATTTTTTACTTTATTATCTGAGATAGGTTTAATCAGTTGTTCTCTATAGTTACCTGTTTGGTTTATTGGTCGTCGTCATTGGTTACTGACTGTTCTGTCGTTTGTCTCCTGTCTGCAGAGACATCTCTCCCAGGAGGAGTTCCTCAGCGTCTTTGGGATGCCCATCGAGGAATTTGACCGCCTCTCCATGTGGAAGAGGAATGAGCTGAAGAAGAGATTTTGTCTCTTCTGACCCCCCTGGGACTTCATGTCCCAGAAGCCCCTGCTCCTCCCGGATGGGCCAGCGGAAAGCCAATCGAACTGTGAATGTGATCCTGAGACGGCGGCGCCGCCGTGGACTCTTCGGTTTGTGGTTGTCGTCTCAGACGGCCTTTGGGTTTGCAGAGAAACACGGAGCGGGCTTAGAGTTCTGCTGCACACATTGACGTCACCAGCTCTACTTTCTAGAGCTGCGGAACACCAGCTTCACTAAACTAGAGCGAGCGCACAGCAAACGGCTCCACAGCGCGGGGCAGGGCGGGCTCTGGTGTGGTGGGCGTGTAATGATATGGGATGTTCTTCCAGCCCCCCCTGCCTCCCCTCAACATTCCCACTGACCCGGGGTCAGTTTCCACAGCAACTAGATGTGGGCGGTCTCTAACAGAGCCCCTCCTATTGGCTTAGCCAGCGATGATGTCACAATGACAGCGTTTGTTTTCCAGCGCTGGAGAAGAAAAACAAGGAGCTGGTTGTTGGGCTGAAGCTGATTAATCTGCAGACAGACCAGAACTATTCACATGGGTAGAACCAGAGAGGAACGCTTCCATGGAGGAACCATCTAGAACCTTCATCTGCCTCAGAGATGATGTCACAGCTTTACTCTGAACTGTTCTGGTCACCAGCCAGAGGAAGAAGGAGAACTCTGAGATCCTCCCAGGAGAGGAAAACAACAGCCTGTTGGCTCCAGTTCCCATGTTCTAAAGGTTCTAGATGTCTCCCTGCTCCAACACAACTTAGTTCCCTCTCAGCTGGGTCTCTGGAAGCAGGAAAGTTCTACAGGGTTCTAGAGGCAGCGCTCGCCTCTGCAGGAGGTCAGACGATGAAGCATCAGACCCTGCAGGGGTCGGAACGGAGCAAACCTTTAAAGGTGGCCATGATCTGACCGGCTGAACCCAGACCTCATGCTGGTTCCAGACCAGTTCAGCTTCAGTCCAAATGAGATCCAACCTTTGGCTCCTTGTTTTCCTTCATTCGTCTTTTAGCAGAAACCACTGCCGCACACACACAGACTGAGGCGTCGGTGGCGATCAGACCTCCATCAGCAGGTCGGTGACCTTCAGTCCAGCTCTTGTTGCTTCGTGACCAAATGATGTGCAGCTATTTTTTAACCTCCTTAAAAAAACTGGCATGTTTGTTATGAAATCATCTAAAAATGTAAAAAAAAAAAAAAAGAATCAAGGCAAGCAGGAAGAAAAATAACTTTTCTGGGATTTTAGACCTAAACTGGATCTAAAGCACTTTAGCGTCAGAACCAACATCAACTCGTCCGTTCCCTGTAGCTCACACGGCTCCGAGTCTGGAGCGGGTCCGATTCATAGGCGACTCGTCACAGAGTTCATCCAGCAGTGATTTAAAAGTCTTAGAGCAGAGCAGCTGTTCCATTCATTCAGATGAATCATTTATTTAATCAATACTTATTTGATTGATTATTTAATCAATCAAATGAATCCGGTTGGTTTAAAATGGCCGACAGGAAGCAGAACAATAAAAGTTCCTCTCAATAGGAGATAAAATACAATGAAATTACTCTGCATGTAAAACAGGCTTTATTTGGTTTAATCAAAAACTAAAACTTAAAATCAGAAAACTTGGTTCAGTAAATAGAAAATATTTAAGTTGAACTTATTAATTAGATCAGAATAAAACTATAACTTCCCCAAACCAGGGATTTAAAGCTAAATCCTGCAGAGGGCGCTCTGAGCCTCACCAAGGGTCCGTTTCACTAAGCAGGTTTACCAAAAACTCTTAACGTTTCTAAACCTGAAATATGGGAAACTCTGAGTTTTCCGTTTCACAAAGAGAGTTTATTAAACATCTGTTTCTGTTGCCATGGTAACATCCTCCCAGAGCTAACCTGGTCAGCAGGATTTCCTCAGTTAACTCAGTTTCCTCTGTCTCTGCTCTCCTTACAGCCAATCAGGCTGCTTTAGTTCCTGATTTAGTCAGATTTTTGTCATAGTTTTGGCATAAAAAAATATATGTATTATTCACTAGGTCTGTTAGACACATTAGGGTTTTAAAAACAAACATTTCATGTCCGCTTGACAAGGATCTTATGATAGAATGAAAGAATGAATGAACAGAAAATTAAATATTTATAGGGAGATGATTCTAAACTCAGTGACAGGATAGGAGATTTGTTTTTGGTTTGTTTAATATGATCGAGATGTGGATAATTACATTTTTATTTAGTTATATTTACAGTACATGAAGAACTACTGAAATTATACACATAAATAGATTAATTAATTCCATGGGGGAAAATAAATGTTAGGATTAGGATTCACTCGATCATAACAACCTAATGAGACGTTTTACTACGTAAAAGAAAACTGAATCAAGGTGAGGAGGAACCCATGAGATGATGAACAGGTTCTATATATTAGAACATTTATATTATTCATCCTCTCCTCACAGGTGATTTCACCTAAATAAATACATTGATCTACTACCATTCAAGAAATAATCCCGTAATATGTTCACGGTAAAAACCCTCTATGGCAAGCCGTTTTGATATGTACTAGTTTTACTGATTGTGTTTTCCTGATATCTAAAATAACCATTTTTGTTCTTTGTCTAAATGACCATTTCAAACAAAATTACATTCTCCACATCTAGAATAAACATTCTGGATGTCTATAAATTAATTTAAGATATTTATATTCCTAATATTACTGCTCAGCATTTGTATGGTTTTAATTATAAAAAAAAAATGTCTCAAATATCATAAATACATTTTCAGTCAAGCTGATAGATGTCAGAATGTCCACTTAAAATGTTTCTGTAAACATTTGTAGGTATATAAAACCTAATTCTTAGTGGTACAATTTTTGTTTTTTAGCTCTCTAAAATTCAGTTTCTGCAACAAAAGTGTAATTTATAAATTATATTATTCCAGTTTAGTCTAAGAATGGCATTTTTATCAGGAAGAATCTTAATTTAGTGATCAACAAATGTAACACTGAGAGTGCTTTTAATAAATGTCAAACGGCCTGCCATATTTTACACATTAACTGGAGCAGCAATCTTCTCCTTTGCAGCTGTATTGCTGTTTCTCTGTGTTTTAAAAACCTTCTCCTTTTTATTTGCTTTTCTGCATTAATATCTCTAGTTCCATTGGGGTGAAATAGGCACTTCCTATTACCTGTCGTCATGGTGAGTCGTTGACTGGCGGCTACACTGATAATGGCTTTTCGTACTCGTTACACACGTGCTAAACTCTGAGTGGTTCTACTTGGACTTGATTAAACGAATTGATAGCAGCTGTTGTGAAACTGAAAACTCAGAGTTCCTGACTTTAGGCTAAATTAATTTAGAGTTGCAGATTTTAATTTGAGTTTGTTAAACCTGCTTCCTAACCTGGAGAGAAACTTTAAGAAACAGAAAACTTTAAGTTTGATTAAAAATGTGTTTGAGGATGCTCCGATGGTTTCTGGGGAAACTTTGCTGTTTTTACCAGCAGAATATGGTTTAAACGTTAAAGTTTGAACCATATTCTGCTGCTATTTTACTGCATGTTTAGGTTTTATCAGAGACGCCTGATGATTCCCCATCACTCTGAATGACTCCTGTGATTTCCTCTCAGCGCCTTTAAGTCCGAGCTCAGGGACTCAGACCCCTCCCTCTCACTGCATTGAATCAAAATGAAAACCTTTAATCACGCCGACACTGCTTCCTGTATCTGTGGAACAAAAACAAAGAAAAAACCCTGAAAACTCTAAAAAAAAAGATGGAAGCTGTGAGACGAGGCAGAGCGGAGAAGCATCCGTCACTTTGAGTTTATTTCTTCATGTGGTTTCTTTCTGAACAGGTCGGTGCTGTGTTCTGATTGGCTGCTTGCTGTGACCCATGACACAAAGATTGTTCCACGTTTCTCTTCTTGTACATTTTGAGCAGTTTGAATCTGTTGTTTTTTTATTCTTTAAGCCTGCAGGATGACTCAGATGCTCGTTAACATTTCAGAGCTCACTGCTTCCTCTGGATTGAACAGCTTCCAGATGTTTCTGCAGCTTTCAGATCCATTCATGCTGCAGGAGAACCAGGTGAAATGAACCATCCTGGTCTCCTGACATGTTAGGATGGAGCAGTCAGTTCAGAGGGTCCATGGAAAGGGTTCTCAGAGGGTGGGTTAGGGACCTGGGGTAGTACACAGAGACCAAGCAGAGGGACGAGACATGTTTGTCACCTCCTGATGTGTATGGAGACCCAAAAGGGACAATATTAAATAGGTCCGAATATTGTAAACTATAAATCTACCGTTTGTGTTTCATACATTTTGAATGATGGAATTCATTAATGAAATTATAAATTTTATTTGAATTCCTGGAAAGTGGCTGTAAAAGCCTCAGAAGCTGGTTTGTGTAAAGGAAGCTGAAGGCACGGAGCTGCAGACACATCTGGTCAAACATCTCCTCCTTTACTCGTTTGGTTTCCATCAACTCAGTCTGCTGAGCGTTCCTGCACCACTCATGGTTTCAGGTGGAGGTTCTCTGACCGTCCGACGTCGTCCTGCTGCTGTACATACTGAACCCTGGATGATGTTCTGATGTTTGCTGTTGATGTTTCATATCTGGATGCAGCTGTTGTAACAGAGGAATGGAGAAGTTACAATAAAGAGCATTTTTAGCAGCTTTCAGGACAGCGTCTCCATGTTTCTGTGACTCCATATCTTCATTAAAGCTGCCATGGTTTCACGTCCCTCTGACGGTATTCATCCAGAACCTGGGATCACTCTGGAGACCAGATCGACATCCAGCCTCAACTGAGCAGAGAAGGCACCTGATGTTCTCCTCAGGGGAGGAGGCAGCTTCTCTGGGCTCAGCTTCATGGTTGGACCATCGTGGATCTGATGGATCAGTTCTCGCAGCCAGGCTCTGTGACAGGCAGGAGGGGGTATCATGGTTTGGGCTCTGATCATCTCAGCATTGAAGCATAAAGGTCCAGCAGGGATTTTAGAGCAGCATCTACCTCCCTCAGCACCATATCTTCTCCCTGCTTGGGAAACCAAACTCCACAGACCCAACCACAGTCAAACTGAATTAAATCCTCACAGATGAACATTTTCCACCCAGACTTTAATATCCCGCTTACAGATCAGTATTTGCTCAAACAAAAACCTTCTCCTGAGTCCAAACTGCAGAAAATATGTTTTAAAAATTCTACAAAAGACATTTTATCCTGGTAAATTTCATCCATCAGTCGTTACACAATGCTGTTTAGTACAGGAGGAACACGGTTACAGATTACTTTTAAATAACGATCAATTTGAGCTGTGATTGGTTGACAGATTAGTGACATCAGAACTTCAGCAGCTGGTTTTCTCACAGTATGTTGGATTTGGCGACCCCTCTGGACAGTGGATGTCACTGCAGCTCTGATCCAGGAGCTAAAACTGAAACTTCAACCTTCAGAAAATAAAATCCACATCATTTGTCGTGATGTAACAGGAATTTAGGAAGTTAGGTCACCTCAATGAATAAAACCTCAGACGAACAACAGGTGAGAGGTTAGGCCACCATGACATCATTTCCTGAGAACAAACGGAACAAAAAAAGCAGCAGTAAATGATTCTTCTGCTCCGCTGATCAGATTTATCGACACAGGAGAGGATCCTCAGCAGGAAGTACATTTCATTCTGCTTTTATCAGGACTGTAGGACCTTAAAGAAGCAACTGTGGCAACCCCAAAAAAACTTTATATTTTTGGTCTGAAAAACAATTTTTAATTGTGAAAACCTAAAAAAAACTAACAGTAAATAAAAGAACAACAATGGAAGTCAGTTCAGAAAACCATAGTAGCTTTAGTGGCTTTTGATTCAAGGGTTCATTGTTTTTTTTTATGTTTAATTTCAACAATATTGCAAAAATCAATCCACTGGACTTTGTTTCCAAGTTTGAAGACGTTTCTCTTCCATCCAGGAAGCTTTTTCAATTCAAAATGTCAGAAATAGCGTTTAGTTCCAGGTTTTATCCAGCAGCCCAACAAAGCCTGGTTTTAGTTTAGAAAACATGCAAATAGAAACGGATGAACGGGTCCACCCCTTTGGAATGGGGGTCGTTTGGCTTCTTTGTTAGCCTGCAATGCCCCATACCTGTCTATGTCTCTGAAAGGGGGGTCGTTAGAGGGAATTGTTGGCCTGGCTGGATAGGCGAGATGTTTTGGCCCCCTGAATGGGGGTAGGGGTTGCGATGATGGCAGGAAGGAATCAACTCTGTTGCTGCGTTGAAGGTTTTTGAAAGCTCTCATCAATAAAAACCGCTGCTGAAGAGACGACTGCAGTTTCTTTACTACAGCAATAAATCCACTCATTTAAGTCATAAATAAATTACCCCGAGCTGATGGGGGGGGGGGGGGGGTTTAGGGATGGACATCACACCATCAGCTTTGAAGCAACTGCAGAGGTTGCGGGTTTGAAACTCAGATTGTTTCTGTCCCCGAAACAAAAGAGGTTTTATTTAAAAAAGCAGATGACAAATTTCTCCACAGCGAGACAATAAGTGCTAAAAAAAAATTTCCGTCTCAGTTTCACATCAATTGAAAAATCTCAGGATTCTAAATTACAGAAAAATTATGGAAGAGGATTAGGGCCACTGCAAAAAAAAAATAAATAAATTAAGTGATTTTTAAATTAGACAGCATGGGATTAATTTCCACTGTTATGCTGATGATACCCAGCTATATCTGTCTATAATCCAGATGAAGCTAAACCATTACATAGATTACAGGCATGTCTTGAAGACATAAAAACCTGGATGACTCTTAACTTTCTGCTTCTGAATGCAGACAAAACAGAAGTTCTAGTCTTTGGACCAGAGTCTCTGAAAAAGAAACTGATTAGCCAGTCACTTCATTTGGATGGGATTAAACTGATTTCAGATAATAAAGTAAAAAATCTTGGTGTTGTTTTTGATCAGGACCTGTCATTTAAATCCCAGATCAAAGAGGTTTCTAGAATTTCCTTCTTTCATCTGAGGAACATTGCAAAAATTAGAAATATCCTGTCCAGGGGTGATGCTGAGAAACTAGTCCATGCATTTGTTACTTCAAGGCTGGACTATTGTAATTCTTTACTATCAGGAAGTCCACAAACTGTAGTTAAAACCCTTCAGCTGATGCAAAATGCTGCAGCCAGAGTTCTGATGAAAATGAAAAAGAGAGATCATATCTCTCCTATCCTGGCTTCTCTTCATTGGCTTCCTGTTAAATCCAGAATAGAATTTAAAATCCTCCTTCTCACATATAAAGCCTTAAATGGCCAAGCTCCATCTGATATCAGAGATCTGATTGTTCCTTATGTTCCTAACAGAGCACTTCGCTCTCAATCTGCAGGTTTACTAGTGGTTCCTAGAATTTCTAAAAGTAGAATGGGAGGCAGATCTTTTAGTTATCAGGCTCCTCTCCTGTGGAACCAACTACCAGTTTTAGTCCGTGAGGCAGACACCCTGTCTACTTTTAAGGCTAGGCTTAAAACTTTTCTTTTTGATAAAGCTTCTAGTTAGAGTGGCTCAGGTTATCCTGAGCTATCTCTATAGTTATGCTGCTATAGGCTTAGACTGCTGGAGGACATAGGGACCCCTTTTTCATCATTCTAGCTCTATTCTCCCACTCTGCAGAATCTGTTAGTTCAATCTCTAACGTTCTGCTCTCTCTGCTTTTTCTCATAGTAGCTTCATCTGGTCTGTTCCTGTTTGGCTGTGACTCCATCCTGGAGAGAAATATCAGCTGTGCTGCTGCCATCAACACCTTTGTTTCTAGATGTTGGAGCTTGGCCTGTTTTCCAGTGTAGTCCTGTTTCTCTGACTGTGACTAACTGGATGTGCTCTCTTCATCCTCTGACATGGGAGCTGGCTCGGAGCTCGTCTGCCTGGCTGTGTGTTTCCTGGACGGGGCCGCCTGTGGAGCTGGTTGACAGTTGCCTTTTGTATCTATGCTTCTTTTTCTATGTCTGCTTCTGTCTCCTTGAACCCCAGTGGGCCTCAGCAGATGGCCGCTCACACTGAGCCTGGTTCTGCTGGAGGTTTCTTCCTGTTCAAAGGGAGTTTTTCCTCTCCACTGTCGCTACAAGCATGCTTAGTGTGAGGGATTGCTGAAGAGTCAATGAGTCGATGCAATCAGCTGGTTTTCCTAAGATAGAAAACTTTGAATCAATCCGACTGGATGATCTGGTGAACTGGAAAGTTCCTTCAGATGACGTGATGTGAATATGAGCTATAGAAATAAACTGAACTGAAATGAATTAAATATTTCAGTTTAATATGAGAAAAAAGTCAGAATTCTGACTTTAATCTCAGAATTTTAGATCTTAATGTAGATGAAGGTAGAGATGTGGAGCACTCAGCTTCACTGACAAAGATGTGAGTTGTTTAGGAGGAACAGGAACACATTGGTGGAAATGATGGAATTAGGCTCAGATAGTTATTAGTCTTTTTCCGTCCCTGAGGGTCCCTGCTGATTATATTTCATTAATGGAAGAGCAGAAGGTGATTAAAACAAGAGAGCTAGTCTGGTCTCTAAAACAGACACGGCTACGGCTTGATGCTAACATGTTTGTTAGCTGTTAGAATTCAGTCAAAATTCTAAGAAAAAAGTCAGAATTCTGAGATAAAGTCAGAGTTTTTCTTTTTCTCATATTATACTGAAATACAATTTTAAAATCAGTTACATTTTTTATTTTTTCAGTGACCTCAATCCTCTTCCTTAGAAAAATACAATTCAAAGTTTAGAAAATTTAAAAGCAAAACCTGGTTGGTTGAGTTTAATTCCTAAACAATTTACAGTGTAGGAAGGCTTATGATGTCATTTCCTGTCCAGCCATTGGTCCTCAGTTTTTGATGTTAGAAAAACACAGATAACCAAACAAACCATTTTGTTATTTTAGATGTTTTCTGTTTTTTTAAAGGCAGCAGAGTTTCACATATTTAGTCCCCAGAGGCAGATCTGGTGATTCTAGGGCCCAGGGCAGAAGACGGGCGCACAGTTGGTTCATCGACCCCTTTTTTTTCCAGCTGCAGATCAACCTGATCTCGGCTGAAGGTTGAGAATGTTGAGTTGTAGTTTTCCTCTATTTCGAGAATAAAGCCATAAAATTACGAGAACAAAGTCGCAACAAGAATAATCATCAAATTACGAGTGTAGAGTCGTAACATTACGGGAATAAAATTGTAAAATAAGAATAAAGTCTTAATATTAAAAGAATGAAGTGCTAAAATTATGAGAAACAAGTTGTATTTTATGACATCTCTTCCAAGAAGACAACTTTATTCTGTTAATATTAAGACTTTATTCTCGTAATGTTACAACTTTTTTCTGGTAATGTTACAACTTTATTCTCAGCAATAAATAAAAAATAAAAAAGGTCTAGCCTGGCCCTAATACTCCGTCATAGAAGGTTCAAATCTACTTTGGCCTGAAAAAATTTGTTTTTATATAAATTTGACCTTACTTACAGCCTTAAAAAGATGTATTAAAAATTAGTATGTAAAATATTTTTGTGGGTTAGGATGATATTGTTTACTTCTCAATAAATAATTAATGGGGTTGCCATACCCTCTTTAACCAACAGCATCAGGTTCCTGTTATTGACTAGCATTAGCATTTATCACCGTTTGGAACATTTCTGTATTATGTGCCGAATACGTACCAGCACAAGTAGAGGTTTATTCATGTGTCCCTGTGGGGCCCCTGGCAGCCGGGGCCCATGGCAGCCGGGGCCCCTGGCAGCCGGGGCCCATGGCAGCCGGGGCCCATGGCAGCCGGGGCCCATGGCAGCCGGGGCCGTTAGCCTCTGTTCATCGCTAATCAGTGTTCCCAGTAATCATCTGTTCCCAGCTCCTCACTGGGATTTAAATATTCTCCAATCAGAAGTAGATGGACGGCGGCCTTAAAGGGACGCGCTCAAGAAAAGTTGAAGGTTTTTCTGATCCTGAGGAAAATGAACATTTGAATCTGAAAATCCCTTAAAGAGAAAACCTGGTTTCTTCGGTGTGTAAAAACGGTGTTTAAGTCCAAGTGACCAATCCGAGCAGAGAGCTTCTCCGAGGCCTTTTAGTGACGCTGATTTTCCTGTCAGGCTGTAGATGGTGGACCTGATGGAGGACATCAGGCTGCAGCTTTGGTCTCCCATTCCTGGTGAAAAAGGCAAAAACACATCGATAGAAATTATCTCTAAGTGAATCCAGACAGTTTATAATCTTGATGTTTAATCAAAAAGGAAAAAAACAAAACAGTAGTCAAAATTTCTTTTAAATTTGGTTTAAAATTTCTTCTATTTGAAGAAAGAGTAAAATCCAAAAATACAACAATCTCAACTAATATAAACATTTTTTTAATATCTTTTTAAAAAGTTTCAAAAAAACATCAAGAAAAAAGTCATTTCAATCATTTAAGATAATCAGATAAATGTCCTACTCTGGCTGATCTGTAAGGATAAATTATTCACAAAATGAACACAGAGGACGTATGGATGTCGCACCACAGTATAAGTCGCATGACCAGCCAAACCATGAAAAAAAGTGTGACTTATAGTCCGAAAAATACGGTAAAGCATATCGAACAGGGACAAACGAACAGTTTCTGCTGTTTACAGTAATTTCACCTGTTATTACTCAAGTTAAGTTTCTTTGAAAATATTATTGAAGTAAATGTAACTAGTTACGAGCTCTGAATGAACAGCCTTCAAAATAAAAAAGTAATTCCTAATTTCATAAACACGTTTGTAGGCTCTCATTGGTGGAAAGAAGAACAGGGTGAACATATAGGAATACATTTAAAGGTACAGAGGACGATCTTTTATTTCTGGGTGGATCATCTCAATCAGTGGTCCTCCTAACTGTCAATCATTCTGGGGAAACGTTTAGGTAGCGCCATGCTACATGCTCGTCCCGTTAGCCATCATTTTCTGCGCACTTTCAGGCATATATCTGTGGTGAGCTACGGTTTCAGACAGTCACTGAAGCTCACCTTTCTCACTGCGGTTCTTTGAAAATGGCCGAGGGTCAGCGTGGGCTTGAAGGGAAAATTATTTGTTTGGAAATTAATTTTTCTATGACATCCTTTACCTCTTTCCAAAACCATATCATACCTCTGTCCTCTGTGCATTTTGGACATACATCAGGTATCTCCCCGTTATACCTAGAAAATTTCTATTTATAAATCTTTAAAATCTGTTCTTTTTTGTTTTGTTAGGAATGTATGAATGTAAACCATAATCAATAAAATAATAAAATAATTTCGCAGTCAGTTCTGGATTTGATGTCAGAGAGCCATAATTTAGAGGGGGGGGGGGGTGGGTTTCGTTATCTTCTGCAGGCCAGTTAGTTCTACGTCAGCCTGAACACCTAAATTCATCCAATCATATATCAACGGTCATCTGTCAATCAAATGTTTTCGGTCATAGCATCTTGATTCATGTGTCGCAGCTAATATACGCAACGGTTGAAACCAGAATCCTTTCCTTTCCCATTGAGTTGCGTCCCAGTGTTCACGGGGATGGACGTCTGTGTCTTCGGCAGGCGTAGAGCTAACAGAACTGGCAGCGTTGCGAGGCGAGGGCTCAAACATGTACGGCTGGAAGCCTTCTACACCAAACCAAGCTTCTGCCGCCCTGGCGTCCTCTTCCACAACATCTTCGTCCCCGCTTTCCTCCTCTAAATAAAAAATGGATGACGGAGGAGACTCATCCACGACCTCCGACACTAAACTCTCCTCCTCTTGCATGTTTCCGCTGTCCATAGCGTTCCTTGACAGCGTCGTTTCTAAGTCACCAATTTAGTGCTACTTGGTCCCAATGGAATTTCCCATTGGGAACCTGCTAGCGCTAAGTTGCTAACTGGTTAGCAAGATGCTTCCCACAAACCGGCCACAACCAAAAAGCTTGCAAACCTTCCGCCTCAACAACCCCTCCCCCTTGATAATCGACCAATCACATTCACTTTATTCACTCGTGTAAAGTCGGGCACCACTCTGGAGAATTCGGAAATGCTACGGTTGGAACAGCCGCTTCCCTACGACTTTAAACAGAGGGGGGGATTCAGATTTCAGCTTTCAAAAACCTACAATACAGCGATACAGTTGATTCCTTCCCGTCATCATTGCGGCCCCCATCCCCATGCAGGGGGGCAGAGCACTTCCCTGTTCAGCCAGGCCAACAATTCCCTCCCTTTCAGAGACATAGACAGGTATGGGGCATTGCAGGCTAAAGAACTTAAACAACCCCCATTCCAAAGGGGGGGACCCGTTCATCCGTTTGTGTTTGCATGTTTTCTAAACTAAAACCAGGCTTTATTGCGCTGCTGGATAAAACCTGGAACTAAACGCTATTTCTGACATTTTGAATTGAAAAAGCTTCCTGGATGGAAGAGAAACGTCTTCAAACTTGGAAAACAAAGTCCACTGGATTGATTTTTGAATTTTTTGGAATGACTATGACCAGGATGACTGAGAATCTTCACCGGCAGAGCTTCCAGAACATTTGGTTGGTTGAGCTCATTTTATTCTATCAATTATTGTTCCATAATATTCTTGGTTTCTGAACATCAAAGAGAACAAAGCTGTTGTGAACTACACCCAGGTCAAAGCTGACCTGTGATCTTTTAGTTCTTTTTCTATTTAAAGGGGTCATTTTTCACCATCGCACTGCTCCGGTCTATAAAGGACTCCTCACCTTTTTCCTTTGGAAAACCTTTCCGTGTTCAATGAAGAGCGCCGAAGGAGCTCGCCGCAGCGAGTTTTTAGCGGAGGCCGTCCGTCGCAGCAAAGGGTTCAGGAAACCCGCCTGGACCAGAGGAGACAGCCGAGGTAACATGAGAAACCAGTGGAACCAGTGAGCGAAAAGTTTCTGGAGAGCGTGAGCTCCTCAGGAGCAGGTTGTCTCACCTGAGCACGCTCAGTGCAGATGGCCAGAGACTGCCTGAAGGAGGTGCGTTTGTTTCGCCTCACAGCGGACACCAGGTTGGCTTCAGAACCGGTTCTCAGCTGCACCGTCGGTGCGTCAACCAGCTTCAGTTTCTGGACGTCGCGCTGCACTGCTGCTGCCTTTGTGTCTGAAAAATCAGAGTCCAGCTTGTTACGCCTTCTTCTTTCAGAACGAACAATTCCTTATCTTAAAACTTTAGTCTTGTTCTGACTCACTGCTGCCGCCGCTTAGAACCGTGTTGCTGTAGGTCACAGAGTCCCTGGAGGACATGGAGTTACGGTGAACTGAATCCTGAGAGCTGTGAAGCTGTGTCCACAAAAACGACACATATGATGCAGACAGAAGGCGTCATCATCAGTCAAACCTTCTACAGAACATCACCAGAATCAATTTGTTCTACATTTGAAGATGCAGCAGGTCCTATTGTTTCAATTAAAAAAAGGCTCCAGATATAAAGCAAAACCTTGGATCTCAGTGAATCTAAACCTCATCCATCATTCACTTTAGCAGGATGTTTGACATCATTCCTTGGTCTGGGTCGTACCATGGGTTCCAATAAGGAGGAGTTGGAGTAGACGGGCTGGTTTCTGATGGTTCTGCTCAGGCAGAAGGGATCGTCCATGTAGGTGTTGGAGGCGGGAAATCTGCGAGTTTGCAGGCCGCTGAGAAGAGAAGATTAATGGGAGATTTAAGATAATAAAACCTTAATGGAGCATGGTGACAGTTAATGTAGTCATTCATGGTGAACACACGTCCCTCATTTCAAGAAACAGTCCCTGTTTTGGACCACCTGTCTCCAGGTAAAGCTGTCCCTGGAAATGTCCCAGATTTGACCGTTTTATGGGGAATATTTTCCATATAAACTGTTATTATAGTAGAAAGAGCGGGCAAGCATGCTGAGAACAGAAACAGCTGTTAACTTATAGATGAGGAGCAGAGTGCACCAGTTTTAAGATGAGGAAGTTCGTTATGACAGCCAGCTGGATGCAGCTACCTGTGTTACCCTAAAACCCCCCCCCCGCCCCGCCCCAAACTGCCTGTGCAAAGCCAAGCCTACAGTCATGGCCAAAAGTATTGAGAATGACACAAATATTCTATTTTCATCTGATCTGCTGCCCTCTGGTTTTCATGTCAGATGTTTTCATCACATCCAGAAATACAATTGCAATCATATTCTGAGTAACAAAAGCTTTTAATGACAGAATGAGTTAATGCAGTAAGTCAATAGTTGCAGTGTTGACCTCTCTTCTTCAGGACCTCTGCAATTCTCCCTGGCTGCTCTCAATCAACTTCTGGACCAAATCCTGGCTGATAGTGTCCATTCTGCACAATCAATGCTTGCATTTTATCAGAAGGTTTTTGTTTGTCCACCATCTCTTGATGATTGACCACAAGTTTCCAATGGGATTAAGATCAGGGGAGTTTCCAGGCCATGGACCCAACATCTCTCTGTTTTGTTCCCTGAACCAGTTAGATATCAGCTTTGCTTTATGGCAAGGTGCTCCATCATGCTGGAAAAGGCATCGTTCATCACCAAAGTGCTCTGGGACGGTTGGGAGAAGTTGCTCTGGGAGGACATTCTGGTTCCATTCTTTATTCATGGCTGTGTTTTTAGGTCAGACTGGGAGAGAGCCGACTCCCTTGGCTGAGAAGCAACCCCACCATGAATGGTTTCAGGATGCTTTACAGTCGGCATGAGACCAGACTGGTGGTAGCGCTCACCTGGTCTTCTCCCAACAAGCTGTTTTCCAGATGTCCCAAACAATGGGAAAGGGGATTGCTGAGAGAAAATGACTTTCCCCCAGTCCTCAGCAGTCCACTCCCTGGACCTTTAGCAGAATATCAGTCTGTCCCTGATGGTTTTCCTGGAGAGAAGTGGCTTCTTTGCTGCCCTCCTTGAGACCAGGCTTTGCTCCAAGAGTCTCCGCCTCACAGTGCAGATGCACTCACACCTGCCTGCTGCCATTCCTGAGCAAGCTCTGCACCGCTGGTAGCCCGATCCCGCAGCTGAAATACTTTTCAGAGACGGTCCTGGCGCTTGCTGGTCTTTCTTGGCTCCCTGGAGCCTTTTTGGCAGCAATGGAACCTCTCTCCTTGAAGTTCTTGATGATGCCATAGATTGCTGACTGAGGTGCAATCTTTCTAGCTGCCATTCTCTTTCCTGTTCGGCCATTTTTGTGCAGTGCAATGATGACTGCACGTGTTTCTTTAGAGATAACCATGGTTCACAGAAGAGAAACAATGATGCCAAGCAGCAGCCTCTTTTTAAAGTGTCTAAATTGCCGTTATAAAAACTGAAGCAGTAGACTTTGTAAATATTAACATTTGAATCATTCTCTAAACTTTTGGCCATGACTGTAGAGCCTCCGCTGTTCCTCCCGTCTTGCTCCGCTCTGATTTATCCTCACAGCTCAAGGAGAGCATGCGGAATATTATTATTAAATTCATAGGAAATGAACACTTAATTTAATATGACATAATTTTTAAAAATCCCCACCAGCATCCAGCAGATGTTCAGTTTCTGCCCAAATATTTTCTTTTTGTTGTGGATTTTTGTAACAGGGATAAATAGTATCATATAATCTTTTTCATCCTATCACAGTAATAACAGCTTATCTAAAACAAAAAAGGCACAGCTGGATCTATGTACACATGAATAGAAAATAAGTTTAGGATTGTAAAAAATACACTCCTGTTTGGTTTCACTATAACTTTTTTAAAGGAAAGAATATTTTTAAGCCCTGAGAGATTATTTTTCATTCATCTATAAGTTTAAAGACAAAACATGTATTTTTGGTGCAGCTGCTTCAAGCTGCTTGTGAGAATGATCCACATTTATAGATGTGTTTTAAAGGTTGTACTTTAATCTGAATATAAGAATCTAACGTAACTTTTTTTAAAGTTACACAGATTTTAATCCAGGCTGCTGGAGGCGACCCAATGCCCTGCAGCTGTCCAGGATACAGTAGAAACAACTGGAGGACATTTCATTTATAGTTAACATTGTTCAGAAAAAAAATATGTTTTTCAATTTGTAAAAAAAGTTTAATTTTACTTTTTTGTGATGGAAAAAAGACTCTGTATTAAAGCCAACCGGCCTGTTCCTGAACACAATGTTCTGTTGCTCACAAGGGAAGAAGAAAGAGAGACCAGATGGCTCTAATAACCACTATTGATTGATTATTTATCTTTGGAAATTGAAGAGGCACATTCCAGGATTTCACACTTGATTTTTGTTTAAATATTAATAAATATGTAAAAATGGATGAAAACATCACTGTCCCTGTTTCCTATTTTAATTTTCATAAAATGTATTTATTTTTTATCTATGATCTGGAAATGTCCCCAGATTAGATTGCAGAAATCTGGTGACGTTATTCATAAGTTCATCTCAGCACAATGCAAAGAAGTAAATCTAGAACATATCCTGCAGGTCCCAGGTCCTCAGCGTTCATTGCCCTGCATGTCTCAGGACAGTGGACTTCCAAGCTGTTGAGCAGTCATCACTGACTCCAGATATGCGGCAGCAGAACAGTTGGTACTGAGGACCAGGCCTGGAGACTTCTCTAGTTAATTAACGTTTGCTCCATTTGTAATACCATCAGTTGCCAGCAGATGGAATCAGAGAGCAGGATATATCGGTTGAAGCAGTTTATCCTACCTCAGGGCAGTTCCTGTTTGCTCCTGAGTGTTTTTGTCTGGACAACCATGACCAGCAGCCCCGTCCTGCAACAGCTTCAGCCATTTTTGTTTTTCCTCTGATGAGCTCACCTGAAGTAACAAAGATCGGACAGAAAGATTTTAATGAGGAGCTGATAAAAAAGAGGAAACTGAACTACTGACCTTGAACTGACCTCCAGCACAGCTACCTGGTCACCGAGCATGCTCAGTGAGATCCTGTTGGCGTGGCCTTTGTCTGCCCCAGCTCCGACCTCGCAGCCTCTGAGTTGGACCGTGTACTGAGGCGACCGCCTCTCCCCTTCCTCCTGTTTCTCAATGTCCTCTCCGAACATGTTGAGGACTCCACCCTCAACCTGACACAGTAAGTTCTGCCACTGACAGTTCATCAGAACATTCAGGAACCCTGCCAGTCAAAACATCACACATCACTGACACACATTCGGATCTAAGTAACAGAAATCAGAGAAAGGGATTTGCTCAAGTACTTGTTGTATTTATACATATCCGAATGCGGTTTTCTTAAATTTGGATCTAGATCTCAGAGTGTGTTCCTCTCTCTCTGGGAGTGGGGTTTGAACTCAGAACCTCTGGATTCCAAACACAATGCCCTAACCACGAGGCCGCCACTCCCCAAAGCAGGCATTAGTGTGAAGGGTCTTTCCTAAGGACCCACACTGGTAGCTCATTCCCCCCAGCTGGGATACGAACCCAGGATTCCTATTTGCAGGTCTGGTGACTCACTACTTTCTGTGGTCTATCTTATTTGTCTTGTTATGAACATGGATCCCAATGCCCAACAACCAATCAGTGATCAAGCTCCCAGACTGCAGGTCTGAATCCCAACAGTATAATTCTCAAACACTCTTGGTCAAAGTGGCTGACACTTCACCATGGACCATCAGCCCATTCTCAGATGTTCCTATAGACTCCTGCTATTTGGGTTTGCTTTTTTCTGCTTGCTTCATACACCCAGCAATCCTATATTGTTTGAGGAGTTACTTGCAGAGCTTAAACCCAAAGTACGTTCTGCTGACAGACAGCCTCTGTGTTGCCCTGATTAAGGTCTTTGTCACTTAGTCAAGCCATCGGTAGGACCTGTAATTATCAGCCACACACAGGTCTGTGTCTCCATGGTTTTGCTTGGTCCTCTTTTTACAGTCTGGATCCCTCCTGGCTTAGATGTGAATTCAGCAGTACAGCATTAGGGGCGATACTCTTGGTTTGTGCAGATTTATCTGTTTGACTATGATTTGAGCCTGATTCCCATTTTCATTTGCTGCTCTTACACACAGCCAAGAAAAATACATCAGTCCACAAGTTATTTGATGAACATATTTACTACCCCCACTGGTGTGAGCATTAAATATAAAGTAACAGCATAATACTGCGCACTATTAAATTGGTGATACATTTGATGGTGACCTTAGTGCACGTTAACAATGAATGCCTTATCTGCCATAACTTCAAATTCTCCATCCCTATAGCTTTGTTCCCTCTTTAGTCCCTCAGAGCTGTTATGGTTCAGTACCTTTATCTTTGTTGGTGTCATGGAAAGCTGAAAGTTTCTCCTCATCAGAGTCAGTCTGGACTTCGCTGGACTGAAGACAGAATAAAAAACACATTATTACTTTTAGTTAGATTATTAATTCGTCTGTTAGAACAGTGTAGGAATCATTGGCAGCCGGTCAATAGAGGGCGCTAGGGCGCCACCCCACCCAATGACCTGGATTAAGACATAAAACACAAATGAAACTTAAATTATAAAATAAAAATATTTAAAAATAAATTAATATATTTATAAAATATAATATATTATAATACATTTGAAGCAATCATTGCCTATTTTGCATACCCAAATGGAAGCAAATAACCGAGGAACTTTAAGCCCAAATTACACGTGTGATACATCATTTTAAAGCCAACACCTTCTTTTTGAAAATTTTAAAATGTTGAACTTTCAAAACTTTAACAAAAAAAATTGGGTGAGTAAAACACAGCCTAAACTGCATCAGTGTAAACATAACTCAAAGTTGCTTTTTTATTCGCAAAAATACTAGGTTTGAACAGCAGTGACAAAGACATGCTTGAGAAAAGGCATGTTTAATTTCATTACATTTGTTCTACATCACGTTAAACATCAATAGCAGAAAATTTCAGACCTCTAGCTGCAACAATTCCAGAGCTGTGGGGCTTTGAACTTTTGGTGTCACCAGCATCTCCAAATCTCTCCAAATGTGCCAAATTGAGCCATTTGACCCATAGAATAACACTGATATACATAGTGGGCCCTTTATCTACAGAATTCATTCATTGGACTTTATGAACTAAAATAAAACTATAATTTTTTAAATGTAAAATGTTTAGGATAAAAATATAAAACGTCTGAATAAAATCGAGTCTTACAAAGATGCAGAGACTTTTGTCCTGTAGGAAGGAAGACGATGTAAAAAAAATACCAAACATCACAGGCAAACGTTTGAGGATACCAAGCAAGATACCAAGCATTAATATTTTTATTACAAATATACTGGATTACTTTTAATCTGTGGACCCTTATGGATGAATGGAGTATAAACAATTGAAGACTGGATTTATAAAACGGCTTTTGGACGCCTTCAAAGGTTGGTTGATGTGGCTGCTTTGCCATATTTACATTTTGACATGCTTCTATGTATCTGTGCTAATTGTGCTTTGGTGTCCGTAAAATGAACTTGGTGATTAAATTGTGTCTAACATGTCTATATTGGTAAATATTTTACCTTTGTAATTTTCATGCGTTCTGAATTGTTAGGTGTAAACACATAAAAACCCGGCCGGTCATCGTTGAATTGGTGACGTATTTCCATAAATCTTCACCCGTAGACTTCGGTTAAAAGTTGCCCATGCACAGTAGCTCCTCTTCTTTATTTGCTCACCACCTCCCTCCACAGCGCTGACCTAGGTGTCGTACCTGAGTGAAGTTGGCCCCCCCACCTTCTTGAAATTAGACAAAATTAGTGTCAAACGTTTGTGCAGCACAAATTTTCGTTTGTGCCGCCATCATTTTAAAGATATAAAGAGATGTTTCTAGAAGTCATCAAAGGTCAACCAACCCCCCCCCCCCCCCCCCCCCCAACCCCCCACACACACACTTTCTTCAAATAAGACAAAATTGGTGTCAAACGTTTGTGCAGCAAAAACAGATGTTAACTGACCTTTGATGACCTGTACAAAATATTCATAATATCATTAAAATGACAGCAGTACAAATGAAAATTTTTGCCATTCAAAAATATACAATTTTGAAATTAATTTTAAATAAAAAAATATTTAAAAGATCTATAAAGATATATATTATCATTATCATTTTAATGATGTTAATAATTGTTTGTAGAAGCCATAAAAGGTCAGTGAACATTTGTTCATTCTGAAACTCTGAATTTCATATAAATTATAAGTTGCTAATTTATGATTATATAATTTTAAACTGCGGCACAAACAAAAAATGTTGCTGCACAAATCTGCACAAACGTTTGACACGATTTTGTCTAATTTGAAGAAGGTGGGGGGGCTGGTTGACCTTTTGACCTTTACATTTTCATTAATATCTTCAAAGCCAAAGCAGCACAAACGTCAATCTTTGCTGCACAAACGCAGCTGAGTTATTTGACACCCATTTCGTCTGATTTGAAGAAGGTGGGGGGGCTGGTTGACCTTTTGACCTTTACATTTTCATTAATATCTTCAAAGCCAAAGCAGCACAAACGTCAATCTTTGCTGCACAAACGCAGCTGAGTTATTTGACACCCATTTCGTCTGATTTGAAGAAGGTGGGGGGGGCTGGTTGACCTTTGATGACCTCTAGAAATATTTCTTTATATCTTTAAAACGATAGCGGCACAAACGAACATTTTTGCTGCACAAACGTTTGACAACAATTTTGTCTGATTTGAAGAAGGTGGGGGGGCTGGTTGACCTTTGATGACCTCTAGAAATATTTCTTTATATCTTTAAAACGATAGCGGCACGAAGGAAAATTTTTGCTGCACAAACGTTTGACAACAATTTTTTCTGATTTGAAGAAGGTGGGGGGGGGGGGGGGGGCAACTTCACTCAGGTCCCAGTCGTCTGTTAGAAAGTGAGGCTGATTGACAGGTTTATAAATTCATTTAGCTCCAAGGCTAGGCTAACTACATGCAGCGGGGCTAAGGCTTTATTCTGCTTTCCCTGCCTCCTTTTTTAAACCTCAGGATCAGCATGGATAAAGACAGCTAGGACTGATTTAAAGCACTTTGCAGAACATTTTAGATTATTTGTTTTTTTTTTTGTTGGCATTCATTCATATAAATATCCTGGTGTGATACCTTAGTGTACATTTGATTAGTTTTTGGTATATGTCTATTTTAAAGGTACAGCCCCCCTGAGAAAACTCCACCTGCCGCCACTTCTAGTGCGATCTTGTATTTTTTGATGTTCTTCTCTGAGAGAACTTTGCTGGTTTCTCACAAACAAAGACGTCAGGAATGTTATTTGTTTCTTACCCTGCAAGACAGCCGCTGATCCGATTTACTGAGAGAGGAGAAGCTCTGCGTCTCCACCTCACCTTCGGTGCTCACCTCTTCTATCACCTTCACACACGAACACAGACGGTTCATTTGAGGTACATCAGAAAACCACTAAATCCATGAAGTTTAACGGCGCTGTTTGTGTGTGCTGCTGACCCTTCTCCACTCGTCAGCCTGCTGGAAGCTGCTGTAGCCCAGAACCAGAGACTCTGAGCCCACTGGGACCAGTTTGAGCTGGTGCTGGATCTTGGCGTGGCTCTTGGACTTATAAAAGGACTGACAGCCATGAAGGTTCAACTCCAGCTGGGGCAGCAGGTCCCGAGCAAATTTATAACACTGGTGGACATAAACAGAGAAAAAAAACATTTTCCATCCGTCTGTCAGTCAATCCAACACTCACCCCCCCCACCCCACCCCCACCCCTCACCAGCAGCATGTCATTCTTGATGATGAAGAGCTGTTTGCTCCACTGTCCGAGCCACCTCCTCCTCCACAGGTATCCACAGAGGCGGGACTCTGGAGCGGGCCGCAGACAGATCTGTGAGGTGCTCCACTGGATATAGTGTGCTCTGTCCTTCACCAGACTATCTCCTTCATCATCATCATCTTCCTCACCATACGACTCATAGTGGCTGCTCTCTGACTCCGCCCTCTCTGAAGGATAGAAACATTTGCTATTTTACTGTTTTTTTACACAAACTTCCTGTAATGTACCTGTAAGGGTTGCTGCTGTCAGACATAGATAGACGCCACGTCATCGGGTAAGAGGTGTGCCAACAGAGCGGCCATCTTAGGTCAGACCAATCTGAGATCAGAGAGAGTACACTCCAATTGAGGCTACTTTATGATTTTAGACACTCTGAATCCGGGGAACTTTTAACCAATTTCCAGATAAACCAGCTGACTGCAAACATCAATGCTTCAGGCTCTAAAGGGGACAAACTGTTTGATCTGATTTTTTTTTAATACATAATTTTGATTTTGTAGCAAACTTCCAGAGCTTCCCCTCAGGATGCCCAACCTCTATTCTGCTCATATTATTATATATATATGAGGCTTCTCTAAATCCTCCTTAGCTGTGAGTGTGATTGGTTGTTTGTTCTGTTTGTCTCTGTGTCTTGGATTAAGCGTGACAGAATATGGATGGTTTACTTTTATGTTTACAAAATCACACCTAATTTACTTAAGATTTTGACAAAGTAATAAATAAATTTTTGCTGATTTGTTACTGTGTTTTGCTGCAAAAAATAGAGAGTGCCACTTCCAATTATAGATGTCCCACTTTGACAATGTAGTTTCACCAAACACACGTCGCTTCGACCAACTTCTCATCTTTCGCGGTTTTCTCCGCAGTGAGCTGGTCATGTATTCTCATGAAAGTTCGCCTCGCAGATGGTTTGTAAGATGGATCACCTGTGGCTGCCTGGAGAATCAGCGCTAGCCCATCAACTTGTAGCTATTCACTGACTGAGGAGATTGGTTACCTTGGCTGATAGAGCTGTGCTTATTGCTGCATCCATGTCAGCACGTCACTTTTAATGTGGTATGCTGATGAAGGTTCTCAGTCATCCAGGTCATAGTCATTCTGTAAAAATTCAAAAAAACAATCCACTGGACTTGGTTTCCAAGATTTGAAGACGTTTCTCCACCTCTCCAGGAAGCTTTCTCAATTCAAATGTCTGGATCCGCAGTGAGTTTGAGTCATATATGGACAAGGCCTTGTATTGCTTGGAAACATGCAAATGGTAACCGATGAATGGGTCGTTTGGTTCCATCGTTAGCCATCAGGATAACGATGGAACCAAATGACCCATTCATCGTCTTTAAATCTTTGAAACCAAGTACAGTGGATATTGTTTTTAATTTTTACAGAAAGTTTAATGTGGTTATTTGACAGTACAACGTTTTCGCCCCCAGATATACATCTGTTCTAAAATATCAACGTGAAAGTCACCATTAATATAGACCCAGCTCCCAACCTCCCAGTCTGGCATCAACAGCTCGTTAACGATCCACCATTATTATATATATATATATATATATATATATATATATATATATATATATATATAAGCTAGGCATTACAATCACTTCGACCATAAATCTACTTCGATCCGACAGAATAGTGAGGGGTGTGTTTGTAGACAAGGCATACTTCTTTCCATAAGAAGCCAGCTTCTTTCTCAAGGTTTATTCATAACATGTTACTGTTTAACCAAAGTGTCTGTAATTAGTTTTGAGTCTGACTACTTTCCGTTGTTGTAAGTAAGGAGGAATGAACGCTGCTCAGGGAGAACAGGGCTGATTACCAAGCAATAACGGCCGTATGATGAACGTATCTCTTTGCAAAGAAAAAAATAAAGTAAAAAATGGAGGGAAATCCATCTATCTCCGTTTATTTAACTGGAGTTGAATACTTCCCACTACAATATATATGTATAACTGCTTATTGTGATATTATTTATGACTCGTCTTCTTGTGATTAGAATTAGATCTGAGGCGTCTCCTACTCATTCTGACAGCAGCTGCTTGAACTGTGCTCTGATCCAAGATGGCCGCCCTATAGGCATGTTGACCCAGCTTCCAATGAGTCGTCTACGTATTCATGTCAGTGGCTGCAGGTACCTGTGTTGGACACAGTGCTTTCTGCCGGTACGTAAGGTTCTGCCTCCTCGTAGGTATCCTCATCATCATCACCCGCAAGCCCACCGGGGGGGTGAGGAGGAACGGTGGGGCCCTGCATCTGCAATAAATTAGATACGCCAATGGTGAAATACTGAACACATTTAGAACAAGGATGCAGGACTGATAGAACTGGGAAAATCCTGAGATGTGGAGCCTGCAATAGAAGCCTGGTTCCCCTCACCCCTCCCTCTGCGCTAACAAAGCATCACGTTCTTTAAACTCGGATCAAAGCTTAAGTTTACCTGCTTCACAGAACCGGACAGCGCAGAACATGCTATCTACACCTTTCTCTCTGAGTGTAGCTGTTAACGACTGTAGAACCTTCGACCCGATATTCAGCAGACAACCAGGATGGTTTTAAACAAGTTTATTTTTAACAAAAAGAAAGCGGTGGAACATCCTCAGGGCGAGTTATCGGATTTTCTGACGATACAGGAAACTCAGGTCAGTGACAACAATGTCCTGCTGATTACAACTAGGAGGAAAGTCACTCACCTGGCTTAGAGTTCAGTCCGATTGAGAGAGAAAGGAGGAACCTGGGGAGAGAATGTCCGCCACATGTGGTCATTATCATTTCTGAGGGTTAGGGTTAGCCAAGCAAGCAACAGTATCTGTGAGGCATAGTCCAAAGCCTAAGAACAGTCCAAACCAGTTCCACAAACCAGGACAGCAGAGAGCTAAGGAGCTGTCCAAGTAGAGTCCAAGCTGAGGTCAGTAACACAGTCCAAGTCCGGTAACCAGCAGAATCCAGGAAGTCAGACCAAAAATCAAACTGAACAGAGCAGACAGGAAAGAGGCGAAAACCGAACATCCAGAAGCAGAAACAGGACAGAATCAAAAAGACAAATCCCTTACTTGATGGCTAGAATTACTCTCACCGAAAAAGCTAGAATAATCTGGCGCTGATGACGGGAAAGCAAACACCATAAATAGCTGCGGGGAACAGGTAAAACAGATCGGCAGTAATCAGCCGGAGGGCCAATTAGACAGGTGTGCAGGGGCAGGGCGTGCAGGTGGTACAGCGGTTAGCACCCATGACCCATGTGATGAGGCCTTGGTCCTTGACGTGGCCCACCCGGGTTCGAATCTGACCCATGGTCCTTTGCCACATCCTCCTCCCCCTCTCCCACACTACTAGTGCCAAAAACTCAACAAAAAAGAGGTGTGCAGGGGCAGGTTTATGACACTAGCAGGAAGACCTGGAACCAGAAGTCACAAGGCCTGCAGTAACAGAGCTTACCACAGCTTGGACAGGTTAAAGCCTGGTTTATGCTCAGAAACCAGGTGGTCTGCGCCTGGCACACCTCGGACACTATCCCAGACACCATGCAGGACGTTTGTAGCTCTGTGCAACAGTCTGTTGGTTTGCACTTGAAGCCAAAACACGCAGCGCCACAGCCAGTCTTTGGCTAGTCTTTGGGAAATCGACACACAGACACGTGCTGCGTCTGTCTCCCTGCCAGCTGCTCCTGCTGGTCTAGATGCGCTGCAGACAGAATGCTCATTCATGCTTGCTGGAAGATCTCCTACCGCACCTCAAGCGGTTAATGATTTCTGATTTGGCAAAATAAATACATTTTTACCAAATATTGTTTTTTGGTTTTACCTCCATGAATTTACATTATAAATCGATCCAAACAATTGCTCTAAATTTGCTTAAAAAGTAAATTGACCTTATTCCAAAACCTGTGGTTCCCAAACATAAAATCCCACCTTTTTTATTTGTCTTTCATTCTTTCTGTACGTGTTAGCTATTAGTTAAGTGAGCTTCACCAGTTTAGCTTTCGCTTAAATTGGAGTTGAATAATTGTTCATAAATTATTACATTTTGAATAGATGTTAATTTATTGTTATTGTTAATTATTGGGGCTCAATTAACATTTTGATGTATTATCCTAACACAGCCTTTTTGTCAATGTTCACAGAGCAACACGAGTCTGAAGTTATCTGATTAAATAAAAGAAATGCTTAAAAATGCACAACAGTATATAAATAATGTTAAAACAGAGGAAATGGACAACCAACAATGCAGCAACTGAGTTGATTCCTTCCCGCTATCATCGCAGCCCTAACTCCGTTACAGGGGAACAGAAGACCTCACCTGTTCAGCCAGGCCAACAATTCCCCTTAACGACCCCCCTTTTAGAGACATAGACAGGTATGGGGCATTGCAGGCTAACAAAACATTTGCATGTTTTCTAAACTAAAACCAGGCTTTGTTGGGCTGCTGGATAAAACCTGGAACTAAACGCTATTTCTGACATTTTGAATTGAAAAATCTTCCTGGATGGAAGAGAAACGTCTTCAAACTTGGAAACAAGGTCCAGAGGATTGATTTTTCTAACTTTTATGGAACAGTATATAAATCTGTGCCGTACTTTGTTCTAAAATCCCAATAAACTACTTTGAAATGAACGGGTGTGAATACTTTTCTAAGGCTCTGTGAACACTGCTGTGTTCTAGATGGTATCGTGTGTGTGTGTCGTTGAGTGTGTGTCCATCACGTAGACCAGATGCTAATCTGCCGCCATCAGTGACCACTTCCTCCCTCTGCAGATCTGTCAGCCAATAGGAGCAGGAGGAGATCGCCTCACATGTAAACAGTCCACTTCCTGTAACTCCCAAACACACACACTTGCTAACCCTGTCATCTCCTCCCAAACCTCAGGAGGGCCCGGTCTGTCATTACTGACCCACATCACAGGAGCTCCGTGGTCTCCTGCGCCGCTGCTGGATCCGGATCTAAAAAACAAACTTTCTTCTCTCCGTCTCTCCTTCCTTTGAGCTCCTCTTTGAGGTCAGAAAGTGAAGAGGGTTGGCAAGCTGATGGGAGGATGGCCTTTTTTCACCCGCATTGACTAATGATGCTGCCGTGTTTCCATGGTTACCAGAGATAATGGGGAACAGGAGCTTTTGTTGAGGTTATTCTAATCTCTAAGGAGACAGGAACCTTCACAGATTTTCAGGCTGTTTTTTTTTTAAACGTTCCTTTCCAATAAATCTGTGTTTTTTCTGGATAAATCCTGACATGAGGCCAGTTTGATGGGTTTGCTCACCCTGTTCCTGAGCCAGGCGGACGGGTCCTGCTGTGAGACCAGCTCTGAAGACCAAACTCCTTCTGCAAAAGCAGCAAAACCAGATTAGAGGAGGCAGCAGAACACAGAGAACATGGAGACCACTGGTTCTGGGTTTATTTCCTGTAAGCAGACGCAGGAGGTACCTGTCCCCGGGGCGTCCACATGCTCGTTGCTTGGAGACGACGATGGACAGCTCATCACCATGTACTCCGCGTCCTCCACTGGAAACGGCACAGACATGTTCACCATCATCAACCGAGTCTGCCCGGATCTCTGAGCAGACTGGGGAAACAAGCAGCAGAGTCCTACCTGGAGCGTCTGGAGTCTGCAGTTTGGAAAGAAGCTCTGAGATCGATTTCTTCTGAGCCTGAGCGATGTAGCTCAGGTTCTCTGAGTCCAGAACCGTCAGGAAGGACTGCAGGTCCCAGATCAGCTTAGCTAGAACTAAACAGAGATGGAGAGACAAGTCAGTTACAGCACGAGTCTGCGATCAAATAGGTGAGAAAGACAGTTATTGAACAGGTGACGAGTCAGTTACTGAATGAGCCAGTGCTCGAAGAAGTGAACGAGTCACTCGGGTAAGAAGAGAAAGATGAAACGACTCAATCATCTTAAGTTATTTAGCTGGATGAGTCAATTATCCAACAAGTACTCAAACAACTAGTTTAATCTGTCATTAAACAGGTTAACAGCCGAACAAGTCAGCTATAGACCAAGTCTGCATTAAAACTGGTGATCAGCTGGGCGAGTCACTGATTAAACGTGTTAAAAGCCTAAAAACAGCTGGACAAGTTAGCTACAGGTGAACGAGTCGCTCAGGAAACAAGTGAAAACTGAACGATATGTTAATCACAAAGCTAGGCGAGTGAATTACCAAACAAGTCAGCAATCAGACAGGTGAACAAGTCAGCTGTTAAAAATGTTAAAAGAGGTGAGCAAATGAACAAGTCGGCAGTTAAACAGTTTCAAACTCGGTCAGTTAGCATGAGTCAGCAATCAAACAGCAGGATGAGCTAGCTAGTGAACAGATTAACAAGTTAACGAGTCAATTACCAAACATGCCCTCACTTACAAGACTTTCCAACAATCAGAGAGCTTAATAAGTCAATAATAACACAGGGGATAGTCAGTGACTGACTCTTCACACCTGAGGAGTCAGTTACTGGACGAGTCAGCGATAGAAGAGCTCAACGAGTCAGTCTCAAAACAGGTCAGACGAGTTGGTCTTTGGTCTGTTTTAGCTCTTTAGCATCATGTTTGCTGTCATTGAGAGGAGTCTGAAAGCAGCAGAGATAACTCTGAACATCAAACGGGTCCCACCGGTCATCTCCGTGTCCCACTAAGTCACAGCTGAAGCTGCTGTTGATGAAGAGACGAAGCAGTGACTCATGTTTGATCTCTCAGCTCCTCCTTATCTCTGTTTACTCTAAAACAGACCGACTGTCTGTCTGTTCGCCTTCAGATCCTTAATGTTTAACTCTCTCCATGATTCCTGCCAAACAAACAGGCGGAAATCCACAAACTTCACAGGTTCCTGCAGCTTTAACTCCATCAGGCGTTTTCAGCTGTTAATAAACGGAGGAGCTTTAAATATCAGCAGCACCATGAAGGAAACTATTCATAACAAAGCAAACTTATCAGAGCGATGAAGTTTGTTTGCGCATTCATGCTCTGACCTCAGCAGCCTTTGCTCTGCAGGTCTGCTGGCCTTAAAGGATTCGTTCTCAGGTTTGAATCACACTCTCACAAGATGGCTGCCTCTTCTTCAAGAAATAATTAGGTCCATTGTTTTCCCTCCTGCTCAGGTGAAAGTCCCCCATGACAGGTGTTCTGATGCTCTGGCCTTCAGGTTTTAATGGATCAGAGGAAACACGCTAATAGGCTTCAGGATGCTGCTAATATTTAACTCAGAGTAAAGAGCAGAGACAGTCTATTTGGTTTTCAGCTTCTGAAATGCTGGTTCTTCTTGAAAAAAAAAAACTATCCGAACCTAAACTACGCAAGGTGTCCTTTAATTCCTGCTTTTATACTTTTATAATTTATTCCTTCTTTAATCACCAGTTCATCTGGAAGAGCAACATCACCAGCAGTAAACCACCTGATAAAGGCTGCAGTCTGAAGATCCATACAGAACTTATAATCACATTCAGCAACATCTCAGCAGGAATAGCGTCTTTAGTGAACCTGCTGCCCTTTAGAGAAGGATCTGGTTAAGCTAGAGAACCTTAAGCCGGGCAACATCAGCCCAGTTCTTCCTTTGGCTCGTGGATCAACAGCCAGACCTCTCAGGTCTACTGGATCAGAACCAAACATGGAGAATCAGTGTTTAGGTCTTCTGCTCCACTAATCTGGAATAAACTGGTCTTTAAATGAGTCTTTAAATCAAAACTAAACTATTTGTTTTAAAACCTTTGACTGAGATATCTAAACATTATAAATGAGGTTTTCTGTCCAGCTTTCTATCTTTTAATCAATCATTCATTTTTTTATAGATTTTTATTCTCTTCTAATAGTCATTAATTGTTTTATTACCTTTATGCATCTTTGAATTGTCCTGAAACTAAAATATTATATATCAATAAACGTGTCCTGTCTAAAGCTGTGAGAGAAATTGCTCCTCTGTAATCAGGGACTCACAACCAACCTAAACCTTTAACCAACCGCACCTCAACCGGCCTATTTTCAGCCATAAGCATCCGTGAAGTAAAACTTATCAGACCAAAAAGTTAATTTTAGTCTCCTCTGACCACCTGACTTTCCCCCATGACTCCTCTGGATCATCCAGATGGTCACTGGCAAACTGAAGACGGGCCTTAACATGTGCTGGTTTAAGCAGGAGAACCTTCCTTTCCATGCATGACTTGTGAATTACCAACAGTAACCATGGAAACAGTGATCCCAGCTCCTCCCATGTAGATCTGGGCTGATGTGTCACCTTTGTTGAGACCCCACCAGGTGAGATCTTGCATGGAGCCCCAGGCTGAGGGAGATTGACAGTCATGTTTAGTTTCTTCCATTTTCTAATGATTTCTCAAACAGTGGAGTTTTTTCACCAAGCTGCTTGGCCATTTCCTCATAGTCCTTTCCAGGCTGGTGAAGGTGGAGCATTCAGTCTCTGGTGTCTTTGTTAGTAGTTGGATTCTTACTGTTATTAAAATGGGTCCAGAGGGACAAGTTTGGGAACCACAGCTTTAAGGTAAGGGGGAGGTATGCACTATAGGTCAGGGCTGAATGGTCCTCACTACGTACAGTAAGATGAGAGATTGTTTTTCTGAACATCCAGCCAGAGACATGATGGAGCATTTAGACCAGGGGTCTTAAGAACCGGTTCCAGAAAGGGCTGCAGGTTTTCTTTCCAACCAAGCAATCAAACATAGGACTCCATTCATCTCACCAATTCATCATGTTCAGATGGACACTCAGTTGATGAGATGAATGGAGTCTGGTGTGCTACTGCTTGGTTGGAAAGAAAAGCTGCAGCCCTTTCTGGAACCGGTTTGAAACCCCTGATTTAGACTGAAGCAGATTAAATTTAGAACGGCCTAATCAAAGTCCAGACCTAAAAACACAACCGACATTTGGTGGAAAGACTGAAATAAACACTGAGGTGTTCTCCTGAGGCTAGATGATCAAAGCTAAGAAGCTGAAAGCTAAGAAGCTGGAAGACCTGCAGCTGGAGAAGCAGAGGAAAAGGGTTCTACAAATACTAACGCCCACCAAATGTTTATGATGTTTTTTTATAGCAAACTATTAAAAAAACATATTTCCATTTCCTTCCATGTTCTGTCAAAAGATCCACTAAAATGCTCTAAGGTCGGTGGAACAGGAAGAAATGAGGAAAAGATCCAGGGTGTGAATACTTTAGTTCCGGTTATGGAAGCGTGTTCTCAACCCACAGAGATCACATGACAGTAACCGTACCGACTGGAGGAAAGTGGATCCCAGGCGGCCTTCATGCTGTGGTTCAGATCCAGATCACGGTTCTGGATGTGCTGATAGAACCAGAGAGAGGATCTAAAACTTGGTATTTATCTTCTGATCCTATTTTGATGAATGAGCCTTGGGGGCGTGGGCTTGGAGACAAAGACGGCCTGTCTTGGTGCCCATTGAGGGGACAGACTGGGTCCATTCAGTGCGTCCGCCCAGAGTGGGAGACCAAGGTTAAATGTTTCTGATTAACTCCTCTGCTGTTTCACAGAGCTGCTTATCAGGCCGTTGCTGTTTTAAACACCGGGATCCACATACCTCACACACCCACACCGCCGCGACAACAACAGACAGCAGGAAGGCAAACACCAGGGACCCAAAACCTGCGATCCACTCTGTCAGCATCACCTCTGGCTGTAAGGCCCCAGGATGCAGCAGTGATAGCTGGACGCTTCCCTGCCCTAAACGAGGCGCCTCAACACAAAGCCCCACAACTGAGAACCCAGAGAGCGACTTCTATCCAGGACAGAGGCTGTAATCATCTCGCATCTATAAAAATAAAACCAGATCTAAAAGGACAACGGGTCCAACTGTGACCAGGTTTCGTGAACGCCCGTTAGTTACACCTGCTGGACATGAAACCAGTGGCAACACTAGGGGGTGTAAATTGCAAGCGGCTGTTCCAACCAGTGTGTTTCCGAATTCTCCCAGTGGTGCCCGACTTTACACGAGTGAATAAAGTGAATGTGATTGGTCGATTATCAAGGGGGCGGGATTGTTGAGGTGGAAGGTTCACAAGCTAGTTTGGTTGTGGCCGGTTGGTCGGAAGCATCTTGCTAACCAGTTAGCAACTTAGTGCTAGCAGGTTCCCAATGGGAAATTCCATTGGGACCAAGTAGCACTAAATTGGTGACTTAGAAACGACGCTGTCAAGGAACGCTATGGACAGAGGAAACATGCAAGAGGAGGAGAGTTTAGTGTCGGAGGTCGTGGATGAGTCTCCTCCGTCATCCATTTTTTATTTAGAGGAGGAAAGCGGGGACGAAGATGTTGTGGAAGAGGACGCCAGGGCGGCAGAAGCTTGGTTTGGTTTAGAAGGCTTCCAGCCGTCCATGTTTGAGCCCTTGCCTCGCAACGCTGCCAGTTCTGTTAGCTCTACGCCTGCCGAAGACACAGACGTCCATCCCCGTGGACACTGGGACGCAACTCAATGGGAAAGGAAAGGATTCTGGTTTCAACCGTTGCGTATATTAGCTGCGACACATGAATCAAGATGCTATGACCGGAAACATTTGATTGACAGATGACCGCTGATATATTATTGGCTGAATTTAGGTGTTCAGGCTGACGTAGAACTAACTGGCCTGCAGAAGATAACGGAAAAAACACAGATTTTAAGACAGGATTTTTTTTTTTAAATAGACATTTTCTAAATTGCCGGACAATATCGTCTGATAAAGATTACATTTATGTACATGTTTAAGCCAGAATGATTTGACATTTAAATGATTTCCCTT